CCATTAGACAACATTTTATTGATGTTACATCAAATGGAGAAAACTGAAAAAAGAAAAAATAATTCAGATCCTGGAATCACAAAAAACACAAATTAAAGTGGGAAAAAACATTAGTTATATGTAGGGCCAGAGGGAATATGCGGAAGTTTTTTGCTATTTCTGCTGAGAATTTTGGTAAAAATCTGCGGATTTCTGCGGAATTATTCTGGGAGTATCAAAACTAAAACCCTAATATATGAAATAAAAAATAATATATTTTTAACTTTTATTTAATGTTTAAAATGCAAATCCAATAAGATTCACTTTATTTGGTAAACAAAGCAAGTTTGTCATATATCTAGTAAAAGACAGAAAATATTACTGTACAAACTGCATTGTACATAAATCAGATAAACATTTTCACATTAGTCAATAATATTACTGAAATTAATAAACAAACTGAATAAATATAGATTTACACACATTTACTCAAGTAAATAAACAGAATTATTAATGGGCTAAAAATCTGCGGAATTTTGCGCGTGCAGATTCTTGGTGGGCCTAGTTATTAGTTTAAAAAGCATTTTGAAACAAAATGTTTCTCTTTATAGTGGACAGAATAAATGAATACAGTACATAAATGGCATGATGCATACATTTTAAGAATAATTAAAAAAACTATTACCTGATTCTGTTTTCAGATGCTCCTCAAGGGGAAGAAAATGAACCCATCTGACCTCCAGCATCTGCTTTACATAAATGTTAATAAAAATTACATTAGAAAACATTTTAAAACAATTTAACAACAATTTACAATCAATTTTACATCAGATGGAGAAAACTGAAACACAAAAACATTTCAGATGCTGGAATCACACGATGAAGACCATTTAATTCAAGTGAATGAACATTTTTTTAAATTAAAATTTTTAGTATTTTAAAATAAAATAATGTTTCTATTTTATCCTACGCAATATAAATGAATGCAGTAAATGATAAGCATGACAAATAATTAAAAATATATAACAAATTTAACCATTTCGCATCAAGATTCTGCACAGGAAGAGACAATGAACCAACATTTTATTGACGTTACATCAGATGGAGAAAACTGAAAAAGAGAAAATTCAGATCCTGGAATCACAAAAACACAAATTAAAGTGGGAAAAACATTAATTATTATTTTAAAAAGTATTTTAAAATAAAATGTTTCTCTTTATAGAGCACAAAATAAATGAATACAGTACATAAATTGCAAGATGCATAAATTATTGAATAATTCAACTATTACCTGATTCTGTATCCAGATGCTCCTCAATGGGAAGAAAATGAACCCATCTGACCTCCAGCATCTGCTTTACATAAATGTTAATAAAAATTACATTAGAAAACATTTTAAACCAATTTAACAACAATTTACAATCAATTTTACATCAGATGGAGAAAACTAAAAAACAAAAACATTTCAGATGCTGGAATCACACGATGAAGACCATTTAATTCAAGCCAAGGACCATTTATTTAAATTAAAATTCTTAGTATTTTAAAATAAAACAATGTTTCTATTTTATCCCACACAATATAAATGAATGCACTAAATGATAAGAATAATGTAAAATTAAAACATATATATTAAACGTAATATAAATGTAACCATTCAGCATCCAGATTCTCCACAGGGGGGAGACAATAAACCCATCTGATATCCTGCATCTGATTCTGACCTCTGTAAATGTTAATAAAAAGCCATTAGACAACATTTTAATGACGTTACATCAGATGGAGAAAACTGAAAAAAGAGAAAATAATTCAGATCCTGGAATCACAAAAAACACAAATTAATCAGAGTGGGGGAAAAAAACATCAGTTATTAGTTTTATGCATTTTAAAATCAAATGTTTCTCTTTATAGTGCACAATATAAATGAATACAGTATATAAAAGGCATGATGCATTAATTTAATTAATAATTCCAAAAACTATTACCTGATTCTGTTTTCAGGTGCTCCTCAAGGGGAAGAAAATGAACCCATCTGACCTCCAGCATCTGCCTTACATAAATGTTAATAAAAATTACATTAGAAAACATTTTAAACCAATTTAACAACAATTTACAATCAATTTTACATCAGATGGAGAAAACTAAAAAACAAAAACATTTCAGATGCTGGAATCACACGATGAAGACCATTTAATTCAAGCCAAGGACCATTTATTTAAATTAAAATTCTTAGTATTTTAAAATAAAACAATGTTTCTATTTTATCCCACACAATATAAATGAATGCACTAAATGATAAGAATAATGTAAAATTAAAACATATATATTAAACGTAATATAAATGTAACCATTCAGCATCCAGATTCTCCACAGGGGGGAGACAATAAACCCATCTGATATCCTGCATCTGATTCTGACCTCTGTAAATGTTAATAAAAAGCCATTAGACAACATTTTAATGACGTTACATCAGATGGAGAAAACTGAAAAAAGAGAAAATAATTCAGATCCTGGAATCACAAAAAACACAAATTAATCAGAGTGGGGGAAAAAAACATCAGTTATTAGTTTTATGCATTTTAAAATCAAATGTTTCTCTTTATAGTGCACAATATAAATGAATACAGTATATAAAAGGCATGATGCATTAATTTAATTAATAATTCCAAAAACTATTACCTGATTCTGTTTTCAGGTGCTCCTCAAGGGGAAGAAAATGAACCCATCTGACCTCCAGCATCTGCCTTACATAAATGTTAATAAAAAATTACATTAGAAAACATTTTAAACCAATTTAACAACAATTTACAATCAATTTTACATCAGATGGAGAAAACTGAAACACAAAAACATTTCAGTTGCTGGAATCACACGATGAAGACCATTTAATTTGAGTCAATGAACATTTATTTAACTATTAATATTAGGAAATTACAAAATAAAATGATTCTCTTTTTATGCTATGCAATATAAATGAATGCAGTAAATGACAAGAATGAAGTATAATTAAAATATATATATTAAACGTAATATAAATGTAACCATTCAGCATCCAGATTCACCAGAGGGGGAGACAATAAACCCATCTGATATCCTGCATCTGATTCTGACCTCTGTAAATATTAATAAAAAAGCCATTAGACAACATTTTAATGACGTTACATCAGATGGAGAAAACTAAAAAAAGAGAAAACAATTCAGATCCCGGAACAGAAAAAAAAACACAAATTAATCAAAGTGGGGAAAAAAAACATTAGTTATTAGTTTTAAGCATTTTAAAATAAAATGTTTCTCTTTATAGTGCACAAAATAAATGAATACAGTATATAAAAGGCATGATGCATTAATTTTATTAATAATTCCAAAAACTATTACCTGATTCTGTATCCAGATGCTCAAGGGGAAGAAAATGAACCCATCTGACCTCCAGCATCTGCCTTACATAAATGTTAATAGAAATTACATTAGAAAACATTTTAAACCAATTTAACAACAATTTACAATCAATTTTACATCAGATGGAGAAAACTGAAACACAAAAACATTTCAGATGCTGGAATCACACGATGAAGACCATTTAATTCGAGTCAATGAACATTTATTTAACTATTAATATTAGGTATTTCAAAATAAAATGTTTCTCTTTTTAATCTATGGAATATAAATGAATGCAGTAAATGATAAGCATGACGTATAATTAAAACATATATATTAAACGTAATATAAATGTAACCATTCAGCATCCAAATTCACCAGAGGGGGAGACAATAAACCCATCTGATATCCTGCATCTGATTCTGACCTCTGTAAATATTAATAAAAAGCCATTAGACAACATTAATGACGTTACATCAGATGGAGAAAACAAAAACAAAAAGAGAAAACAATTCAGATCCTGGAATCACAAAAAACACAAATTAATCAAAGTGGGGAAAAAAAACATTAGTTATTAGTTTTATGCATTTTAAAATACAAATGTTTTTCTTTATAGTGCACAATATAAATGAATACAGTATATAAAAGGCATGATGCATTAATTTAATTAATAATTCCAAAAACTATTACCTGATTCTGTTTTCAGGTGCTCCTCAAGGGGAAGAAAATGAACCCATCTGACCTCCAGCATCTGCCTTACATAAATGTTAATAGAAATTACATTAGAAAACATTTTAAACCAATTTAACAACAATTTACAATCAATTTTTCATCAGATGGAGAAAACTGAAAAACAAAAACATTTCAGATGCTGGAATAACACGATGAAGACCATTTAATTTAAATGAAAATTTTTAGTATTTTAAAATTAAACAATGATTCTGTTTTATCCCACACAATATAAATGAATGCACTAAATGATAAGAATGACGTATAATTAAAATATATATACTAAATGTAACCATTTGGCATCCAGATTCTCCAGAGGGGGAGACAATAAACCCATCTGATATCCTGCATCTGACCTCTGTAAATATTAATAAAAAAGCCATTAGACAACATTTTAATGACGTTACATCATATGGAGAAAACTGAAAAAAGAGAAAACAATTCAGATCCTGGAATTAAAGAGGAAAAAACATTAGTTATTAGTTAAAGAAGCATTTTGAAATAAAATGTTTCTCTTTATAGTGCACAGAATGAATTAATACAGTAAATAAATGGCAGGATGCATACATTTTATGACTAATTAAAAAAAACTATTACCTGATTCTGTATCCAGATGCTCCTCAATGGGAAGAAAAAGAACCCATCTGACCTCCAGTATCTGTCTTTTTACAAATGTTAATAGAAAAATGCCATTAGACAACATTTTAAAGAGATGTTGCATAAATATTTAGTTAATAGATGCATACTTGCAGTCATTTTGATGCAACAAAGATTTGTTTAAATCTGCCCTCCATTTTTTCATTCAAGCTTTTCAATAAAACTCTGCAAAATAAGCTGGAAAACATATAAACAAAACAAAACTGTTTTAAACACAGACCTATAATGAAATAAAACAAACAAATCAACAATAACCGACTCAAAAACACAACCGTTTGTCCTCCACCTTGTGTTTGTTTGTTTGTTGACCATGTGCTTTCGAGTTCAACACAATATTTTATCAGTCTTACCGCAACACTCGAAAGATAATGTTTCATTTCCAAAAACTAGTAGATATATGCTGCTTGTAGATGTGGCGTTTAATAAATCAGCGTTGTTTTTTGTAAGAATACACGACGTTAAAATCTCAGACCTCTCCACCTGCAGCGACCACGAGCAACTAGTCACTGAAGCGTAGTTTTTCCTCCGCACCTCTAGGTGGCGTTACCGAAGTCACGTGCAGAGCTTCTGAATGACAACATTCTGTTGGGAAAACAGGAAAACATGTCTAGACCGTTTTACACACAGATGCTGCAGATGACAGCTCACTTACAGTGGTTTAAAAACAATAAACAACACGTTTTCCAGCTTATCAACACACAATAAGGACGCACAATGTGATAAAGAGTGTCTGGAGTGTCAAACGACTCACCTGTAAGTGTCTGTTTTCATTCCTATTGCTTTTGTATGGTGCTCCTTCAGTCACTGTTGTTGTTTTTTACCTGGAGGTCAGCGTTTTGATGGTGTCGTTACTCTAAAACCTTGTTATTTTAAAAGGACTGTTTGATATTTGTCAGTTAAGCATATTTGTTGGCAGTTTCGTCTTCTGTGAAGGTTTTTGGACTCTGTTTACATTCTGTTGTTTAGGTGAACTGACATACCTTTAAAAGCAGTTATTTGTCTTCTGATACTGATATGTTGTGTTATATGTTGTTGCAGTCCTAAAGTTGCTAATAATGCTCTTTTAATTGCAAATGGCTTATTTACATATTTGTTGTGGTGTTGATTTCACTTGGGGCCTTCTCTTGATCCAAATTGAGTAAATATTTAAGCTCAAATATTTATTTTTTTCAGCATTCAAGCTGAGGGAAGAAAGGTTTTGTTGTTGTTGCTGTTGTTTGAATAGGTTGTTGTTTAAACGTGTAGTTACATGTTGTGTCATCAGAAGTAGACTGAGAAAAAGATCAACATGAATAAATAAAATAAAAGGTTTATTGTTGATACAGCATTACTGAAGTATAATGTGACCATGGACCACTAAACCAGTCTTAAATGACATGTGTAATGGCTATTTGGCTATTTTTTATTAGTAAAATGCATGGCTAAGCACCTTTAAGGCTCAGATTCCAGATATTCAAATGATTGTATCTCCGTCAAATATTGTCCTATTGTAACGAAACATACATTGATATGAAGCTTATGTATTCAGCTTTCTTAATTTATTCATCTCTCTGGATTTATTCAGCATTGAATGTGTGATTCAGACATTTATGAATTTCTAAATATTGACACTCCTGAGTGGTTTGGTCACATGTAGGTAAATAAAACTTGTGTTTGTAGGATTCAAACCACGATTTTAACATTGGAAGGCAAATGATTATAATCTGTTTCACAGAGTTCTTAAGGGAGGACTTGTTTTAGGGTTTTACATGTTTTTGTTGTTGAATTAGGGAAATGATTAAAGCACATGTGGGTTTTAAACAGGCCTTTGTTGTAGTTGTGTGCTTAAATTCTCCTTTAAATCTTTTAAATGCTGAATGTTTGTGGGATTTTTGTTTGCTTAACAGAATGAGGCATGTGTTTGGACCGTACAGTCAACAGGCGCATCGTTTTGGGACGTTTGGACCACATGTGGACCACCGATGGACATCAGCTGCGGACAGGTAAGACCTCTCGCTCGTTTTTGTGTTTTGTGCTATCGGTTACCATCACTTTCTTTCTGGAGGGTCAAGCCCTCTAGAAAGGAAGTGATGGTAACCGAAACGGGGAGAGAAGGGACGGGGGTCCGGATTTTTATAGAGCTAATTTTTTTTTTAGTAAAAAGTAGCATAACCCCTGCTGTACATGGCCCCGTAGGTCAGGGGAGGAACGTTTCATCCTCCCCCTTCATTCACGCCGACACTCACACATATCGCAGTGATCTGGCTGGGATTGAACCAGCGACCTCTTAACCCTTGAGGCAATGCTCTACCGCTGAGCCACAGTCACATACCTAATGATGTGCTGGAACTTATATTTGACCATTAACTGCCGTACATTTTGACCATAAAGCTGTTAAAGCAGTTAAAGTTCTCTTGGATTTGAACCCAGGTCTCCATGTTGAAAGCCCAGTGCTTTACCAAGTGAGACACTGAGTCTGTGTGTTGGTGTTGTTGTTGGTGCTTTATGTCATGTTGTGTATATTTCTGCTAATGCTGCTAAGCAAAACCAGACTGTGAGATTCGATCCTAAAACTTTCTGATTCAAATGTAAACGATTATCTTCTATGCCATTGAGCTAGCAACTATTGAATTGTGTTTTTGCGTCTTGTGTGTTTTCATAGTTTACAAGTAACATTATAGGCAAAACCGATGACTGTAGGATTCGATTCCAGAAGTTTCTGATTTAAATGCTAACAATTATCTTCTGCGCCACTAAGCTAGTGTCCCCTTGTGCTGTGCTTTTACTTTTTGTACGCTTTCATCGTCAAGGTTAAATTATTGGAAAGGAAAATCTGCGAGGGTGGGATTCGATTCTAAAAGTTACTGATTTAAAGGTAAACAATTATCATTTGCGCCACTGAGCTAGTGACCCCTTGTGCTGTGCTTTTACTTTTTGTACGCTTTCATTGTCATGGTTATATTATTGGAAAGGAAAGTCTCCCAGGGAGGGATTCGATTCCAAAAGTTACTGATTTAAAGGTAAACATTTATCATCTGCGCCACTGAGCTAGTGACCCCTTGTGTTGTGCTTTTACTTTTTGTACGCTTTCATCGTCAAGGTTATATTATTGGTAAGGAAAATCTGCAAGGGTGGGATTCGATTCTAAAAGTTACTGATTTAAAGGTAAACAATTATCATCTGCGCCACTGAGCTAGTGACCCCTTGTGCTGTGCTTTTACTTTTTGTACGCTTTCATCGTCAAGGTTATATTATTGGTGAGGAAAATCTGCGATGGAGGGATTCGATTCCAAAAGTTACTGATTTAAAGGTAAACAATTATCGTCTGCGCCACTGAGCTAGTGTCCCCTTGTGCTGTGCTATTACTTTTTGTACGCTTTCGTCGTCAAGGTTATATTATTGGTAAGGAAAATCTGCAAGGGTGGGATTCGATTCTAAAAGTTACTGATTTAAAGGTAAACAATTATCATCTGCGCCACTGAGCTAGTGACCGCTTGTGTTGTGCTTTTACTTTTTGTACGCTTTCATCGTCAAGGTTATATTATTGGAAAGGAAAATCTGCGAGGGTGGGATTCGATTCTAAAAGTTACTGATTTAAAGGTAAACAATTATCATCTGCGCCACTGAGCTAGTGACCCTTTGTGCTGTGCTTTTACATTTTGTACGCTTTCATCGTCAAGGTTAAATTATTGGAAAGGAAAATCTGCGAGGGTGGGATTCGATTCTAAAAGTTACTGATTTAAAGGTAAACAATTATCATTTGCGCCACTGAGCTAGTGACCCCTTGTGCTGTGCTTTTACTTTTTGTACGCTTTCATCGTCAAGGTTATATTATTGGAAAGGAAAATCTGCGAGGGTGGGATTCGATTCTAAAAGTTACTGATTTAAAGGTAAACAATTATCATTTGCGCCACTGAGCTAGTGACCCCTTGTGCTGTGCTTTTACTTTTTGTACGCTTTCATCGTCAAGGTTATATTATTGGAAAGGAAAGTCTCCCAGGGAGGGATTCGATTCCAAAAGTTACTGATTTAAAGGTAAACAATTATCATCTGCGCCACTGAGCTAGTGACCCCTTGTGCTGTGCTTTTACTTTTTGTACGCTTTCATCGTCAAGGTTATATTATTGGAAAGGAAAATCTGCGAGGGTGGGATTCGATTCTAAAAGTTACTGATTTAAAGGTAAACAATTATCATTTGCGCCACTGAGCTAGTGACCCCTTGTGCTGTGCTTTTACTTTTTGTACGCTTTCATCGTCAAGGTTATATTATTGGAAAGGAAAGTCTCCCAGGGAGGGATTCGATTCCAAAAGTTACTGATTTAAAGGTAAACAATTATCATTTGCGCCACTGAGCTAGTGACCCCTTGTGCTGTGCTTTTACTTTTTGTACGCTTTCATCGTCAAGGTTATATTATTGGAAAGGAAAATCTGCGAGGGTGGGATTCGATTCTAAAAGTTACTGATTTAAAGGTAAACAATTATCATCTGCGCCACTGAGCTAGTGTCCCCTTGTGTTGTGCTTTTACTTTTTGTACGCTTTCATCGTCAAGGTTATATTATTGGAAAGGAAAATCTGCGAGGGTGGGATTCGATTCTAAAAGTTACTGATTTAAAGGTAAACAATTATCATCTGCGCCACTGAGCTAGTGTCCCCTTGTGTTGTGCTTTTACTTTTTGTACGCTTTCATCGTCAAGGTTATATTATTGGAAAGGAAAATCTGCGAGGGTGGGATTCGATTCTAAAAGTTACTGATTTAAAGGTAAACAATTATCATTTGCGCCACTGAGCTAGTGACCCCTTGTGTTGTGCTTTTACTTTTTGTACGCTTTCATCGTCAAGGTTATATTATTGGAAAGGAAAATCTGCAAGGGTGGGATTCGATTCTAAAAGTTACTGATTTAAAGGTAAGCAATTATCATCTGCGCCACTGAGCTAGTGACCCCTTGTGCTGTGCTTTTACATTTTGTACGCTTTCATCGTCAAGGTTATATTATTGGAAAGGAAAATCTGCGAGGGTGGGATTCGATTCTAAAAGTTACTGATTTAACGGTAAACAATTATCATCTGCGCCACTGAGCTAGTGACCACTTGTTTTGTGCTTTTACTTTTTGTACGCTTTCATCGTCAAGGTTATACTATTGGAAAGGAAAATCTGCGAGGGTGGGATTCGATTCTAAAAGTTACTGATTTAACGGTAAACAATTATCATCTGCGCCACTGAGCTAGTGACCCCTTGTGCTGTGCTTTTACATTTTGTACGCTTTCATCGTCACGGTTATATTATTGGAAAGGAAAATCTGCGAGGGTGGGATTCGATTCTAAAAGTTACTGATTTAAAGGTAAACAATTATCATCTGCGCCACTGAGCTAGTGACCGCTTGTGTTGTGCTTTTACTTTTTGTACGCTTTCATCGTCAAGGTTATATTATTGGAAAGGAAAATCTGCGAGGGTGGGATTCGATTCCAAAATCCACTTGTGATTGTAGGATTCAATCCCGTAACCTTCTGATTCAAGAGCAAACGACTATACTTTGCACCACCGAGTTTATGATGCCTAAGCATGCATTTGAGTGTAGTATATAACATTTTTTTTTACACAGATAAGGAAAATCTAAACATTAGACTGAAAGAATCTAAAAAATGTCACAGCTGGTCACAAGCTTTGTGGGGTAAATGATGTTAGTTTGCCATTTAATCAGAAGGTTTTGGGTTCTAATCTCACATTGACGTTTGGTTTTACTTTATTTAATCACCCCCATATCAATGTGGTCCTAACCCCACATTCACTTTTTAGTTTTATTTTTTTTTATTTTATTCCTCCCCCATACCGTCGTGGTTTCGAGAATCCTTACCACCTACAATTCCTGTCAGTTCCAGGGTTTGAAACTGTAACCTTTCGGTCACAGGTCTAACCCTCTATCTATTAAGCTATCCCCTTTGTTGTGGTGGTGGTCTTGCTTTGGGTCTTGAACTGATCCTCTGTTGTTTGTGAGTGAAGGAAGTCACATTTAAACGATTGGATTTATTGATGGGTCTGAAGCTGGACTCAAACCCATGTCCCAACGATTGCATTATCCTTGAGTTTAGCTCTCTGACCCAATGAAATAGCCAACAAATGCAAGTGATTACACATGCCTCATTCCTTTTAAAACAATTAATTGTCCACAGCTGGAGAATGCCACAGGATTCATTAATGCACATCTCAGCTTGTGCCTCAGTTCCAATCAAATATGTTTTGTCACAAAATGAATAGGGATCATCTGATTATAAAATCATTGTCATACAACTCTGTCACAATAAAAGTCTCTTAATAATATGAATGACTAATAACACACGTTTGAAGTCTGATTTTATTTTGCTTTTTAGTACAACAGAGAACAAAAGGTAATGAAAAGAAACCCCCATACATGAAATGAAGATGGTTTAGTGATATTTCATTTAAATTATTTTTTAATTAAAATACATCAACAAATTTTAAAACTGTCAAACACTTAAAAAAAAACCCATTTTAACATTAATTATCTTATAAAAAAGTTTAACTCTTAAATGTGTTTGGATTGAATTGCTTTGAACTAAAACAAGGATAAATCATGTTCAGGTGACCTGCCAATCTTACAGGTGGGAGGAGCCCACATCAAAATGAAACCTGAAACCCATCAGTGTAGCAACTACTTTAAACCAAATAAGAATATGCCAACATTATATAAAATAAAAACAAGAAAATGAAATTAACAAAAGCAAAAATCTAAACTTTTTACATCTGTTTTGGCCATTCATTTACAAGACAAAAATACATTTTTGAGCACAAAAAATGCAAATGTGTGAAGATTGCTTTTAGAGGGCAACAAAGTTGTTGCAAAAACTATCATCTTCTCCATGTGAACTACAAAAAAAGAATGAAGATAAAGCTTAATGTGTTTATCTAAACTGCTCAAAATAGTTTTTCTAGTGTCATCCTATTAATACACCCTCAACAGATGTCCAAATCAGTGCTGATTTATGGACCCTAAGTGCACAGTCGAGACCGTAGAAACACTTTCTAGTGCACTGGAATGTGTGCAGCACTAAAAATGTGAACAGAGCTTTCAGTTGGAACAATGCGTGTCTTCAAGGGTTATAAAATCACTCTCTGGAAAAGTTCCCTCTTTCTTATTGTGTTTGTGCACCATTTATTCAATCCTGCTGTCAAGTCTGAAAGGATTCAGATGATTTGAACCAGGCACTTAGACAACATCAGCTCCACCTCCAAACTGAACAACTCTTCAGTTGCAGTACAAGAACTACATAAATGGCAGATATCTGAGAGAGATGTCTGATATTGAGAGGTTGCGCTGCTGTACAAATCTGGGCATATAATACATTTCTCCAGAACTGAAGGAGGTCATGGGGCAGCTGTACATGGTCCATAGGCTGGGGGTGAAACGATGGGTAAGCGTGTCGGCTAACCGTAGACGCAAGTTGCAGCTTGAGCACACAATATGGTTTGGGCAGCAGGGCTGATAGGGAATCCGTTTGGGTTGGTTTGAATAGTTTGAAGATTTTTGAGGCAGAGCCACAGAAAATCTCTTTACAGCATGTCGGTCACCAAACTGATCCAAGGATCTTTTCAACTTTTTCTGTGCACCTTGAACCCCCGCCAGGTCCCGCCGATGCTGAATATCCAGTGCATGCAGGGTTCGCTCAAGCTCCATGCTCTGACGCCGCTGTGCATTAGCCAGGAAACGCTCTGAAATTGACATGAAATTAAAAATGTTATTAAAACCTGCATTATGTAGGTCAAAATATCCCATTTTGTCATGTGCATTAAATAAAATGTATAAATAAAAGTAATTAAAGTTACTTTAAAAGTAAAGTACTTTTATTAAATGGAAGTTGAAGTCAAAAAACTTTTCAGAATTTACATTTTAAAATATAGGTTAAATCACTTTTCATTTTTAGCGTAACAAATGTATATATGTAAAAAAAAAAACACAATAATTGTAGTAATTTTATTTTATAAGAATAAAACTATGTTTTTAATTAAAAATATGTTTAATTAAATTGTCAGTTAATTAGTATTTTATGGGTGATCTCATCTTTAAATGTGATGTCATACAAATATCATTATTTTGGTAAAATTGTATATATATATATATATATATATATATATATATATATATATATATATATATATATATATATATATATATATATATATATATATATATATATAAATATATATATATATATAATTTTTTTACATTTAAAGTGGATCAAAAAGTTTATTAAAATCGTCAAACTATTGCTCCAATTCTTTTTAAAAAAATTTTTTTGATCCACTTCAAATGTTGACTACTATAATAAAACACAGTTAAAGACAATATCTTGTAATGTATACATGGATTTTAGAAGAAAAAAAAACTAATACCTCGTTCATTGTGCGATTTTCTTCTTGACAGAGAGCTAAAGCTGGACATGACACAATCGTCTGAAAGAGATGAAGACATGCAGAATCCACCGACAAGGAAAGAAAAGTTAAGAGCTCACATCCACACATTACTTTTACATAATGTGATTACTTCACATATGAAATGAACACTGGAGTAGCACTGAGTGTACAGCTATTACATATTACATTTGTACATTAAATATAACGACATAAGCTTCATGCACGTACGTCATTTTAAACACTATTTACAATCTGAAACATGAACAAGATTAATACATTCAATATTAAAACATACAGTATTTATACTTGTTTACTCACCCTTGGATGCTGCAACAAGCATTTATTTTTCAGTATATCCTATTTTTTACATCTAAAGAACTAAAAAAGCTTACAAAAAAAGGACACAAAAATAAAGAAACGGTCTGTTAGGAAGCCTAACCTATATAAAACTTCTTCTCTCAAGAACTGAGAGAAAGATTTTAAGGGGCTGAGTAAGAAAAGTGGGCAGATCTAGCTCCTCATAAACTTTCCAAACGCACACACATGCACACGCACAGACATACAAACATTACATTTTTAAACACAACGTTTTGATTTGTAATAACTGCACGAAAGCGTTGCTCAGTTTTCATGCACTTCTTTAATATATCAGTTTTTCATATTCACAACAAATACATTAAGCTCTTTTCCTTTTATATAATACAGTCTTAAATATTTTTACACAGAAATATTTTCTCAGAAGTTCATCTATCAAAATGTCTTTTCTTAACCTTTATTTCTTAAGTTGAAACATTTGAAGTCATTTCAATTTTTTTTATCTCCATGCCTCCTAGCAAACGGACAGTACTTTCTTTGTACAGCTATTTACAGATGAAAAGAGTCTCCCAAACATTTGTATGATAGTTCTCTCTTGAATGAACTTGCACTGGGGGGTGTGGGGTAGGGGGTTTAAAGTGCAGGCAAGGCAATAGAAAGGAATGTGATATGGACGTTTTTGGTGAAGGCCTTAAAATGCAAATAAAATGGGGTTTGGGGGAAGTGAAATAATTTTTTTTAGATTATATATATATATATGTTGCGTTGTAATTAAATGGGTCCTCAAGTATTCCAAGGAAGGATCAATCCTTTGCAAGTCAGAACTCTTCAGTAACATTCCCATAGAAAATAAATACAGCACTCTTAAAATACACTTGTACGATCTCCAAACGCAACCCACATTAGGTTTGCCGGCTTAATCTGAGAAGAAGTCCATTCAAATGTCTCGTCAAAAACTATACATGTGAAAATATTGACCACCATTATGAATGACACGATCTCCTCTCCGTAATGGCAAGTATAAATGGTGGAACCAATTCAGAGTTTCGTCCTTACAAAAAGAATCAAAATGAGAGCCAAAATAAATAATTCAATCCATCTCAACAGAAGCAAGAAGATGGTGCATGTCCTCGCTTTTGTAACAGAGCACGAGTGGCGAACCAAGCGCAGAGCCTCAGTTATCTGTGCAACATCAAGCATTTTGTGGAGCCGAAAGCAAAAATGTGTCATTTCGTATAAGCAAGGAAAAAAAAGAGAGGGAGGCGGAGCCACTGATTTTAATAATAACGAAAAGCATTCCTACGAGGGCATTTCCATGTCCACAGTGTCTAGGCGAACTTTAGGGCTACACAGTGCTAGTGTCACTACAGCCCAAAGCTATGCTTAGAGGGTTGACGCAGAAGTCTTTGAACCAATAAAGCAAGCTGGAAGCCTGTTTGAGTCAAAGAACGAATTCATCCAGATAAGCGCTCTCCGGCAAAGACAAAGGTGGACACAGATGGCGAGGATGGATTAAGCTTTGGTTTTTAGTGTCCCATGGCCCTGCCTGCTTTTGAAATTTTCATTCATTTTGCAATCTGGTAACCATGCTTTAACCTGTTCATATGACAAAATATATTAAGTCTTTAAAAAGGCAAAATTGCTTATCTGCTTCAGTCATTTATACAAAGTGCACAGACGCACTGCGTAATGTCCATTTCAGCAAATTACAGAATGAGTGAGAAAATATATGTATCTATATATATATATATATATATATATATATATATATATATATATATATATATATATATATATATATATATAGACACACAATTCTCAGAGACAAAAAACACTGAACAAAAATAATCAAATTAAAGCAATATAAATTAATGTAACTTTGCAGGCCTGCCTGTCTGTAACACAAAAAACTATATGAAAACAACAACAACAAAAACTATGACCCGTGAACAAAAAAAAGTTGGAATGAATCCAGTGGTGCAAGGTCCAAAAAAATGTGTCTTGTTGATGGACCAAATCTCAAAAAAAGTAAAGAAAAATTCTGTTAACCATTATGGCCTCAAAGGAATGGCTTCTAATAACAGTTAAGCACAAATTTGTAGTGAAAAGTACAGAAATACATCTGAAACACGCCCACATCTGAACTCCGTAGCGAGGCTTTATGTTTGCTTTATACAGTGGGTTTTTTTTCTACAAGAAACTTAAAATAATAATATAACCTTTAATTTATTCAGAAACATGACGTCAGCTACTACAAGGCAGCAAAACGAAAAACTGAATAATCACATTCTCTAGAAGCGCAAAAACCGCTTTAAATCTGCCCACCTGGCAAATGTCTGATATCTGTGTCGATCCAAGAGACTAAAAGCATTTGCCCAGTCATGGGAAGTTGAAACATAAAATAAAACACATCAGAGTTTGCCTTGACAAAAAATTAAAAAGCAAAGAACCTATTGAAAAACGTATACCTGTATATAAAAAAGCATTTTTAATGGTATCTTCATTTACCCCTGCTCACTAACTAGCTGTAACCAAAAAGTGGGTCTGTTTATCTACAACTTATGACCCTTCAGGAAAAAAAAAATGTAATATTAGCAACTCCAGCCACAGGCGACGTCACATTAACGTTTTGCAAAAGAACGAACCTTTCTAAATATCGTTCAAGTTATTTTCTGACCTCCAGCAACTTTCCTCGACAGCGACTTGACATCTTCTCTTTTTTCCACGCCACTGGTCCAAATTCGGACCCTGTTTTCTGATTGGCCAGTGCTGTATGTTCTTCCCCTCCAGGGGTGGAGCAAAGGCGGGGCTTGTGTTCCATTCATCCCAAACTCATTCATCTTTCTTTTATTTAATCCCTGCCATTTGATCTATTTGGGTTTGTTTCTTTTCCAGTGACCAGGATCAGTCTTTTATTTTTTCTTCTCCATTGTAAGCTGTATTAGAGTTGTCCGGCGATGTTTATGACATTTATTTTTTTGTAAAGTGACACCCTGCAGAGATGTTTTTATTTTAAAGCAATTCCGTTGAGGCCGTAGCTCTTCGGGTAAAGAGGAAGAAAAACAGCACATTCTTTGAAAACTTGTCCTTTTTCTGTGTTGTTATGGATGAACCCATCATAGGAACACAAGACGTCTGAAAAACTGACAAGGGATGGAGGTTTAGGATTTGCAGCACTATTTAAACGCTGTGAATTCACCTGAAAGTGCAACAAAGAACATCAGTTTGGATGCTGAATGAATGCAACACAAGTCAAGAAGGAGGATTAGGAACGTGCACTTGCCATAGCCACCGGCCTGAATGGGTGTTTTGGGGGAAGCGCAGGTGTATAGGCTGAAGTCCTCCGTCTGGAAGCCAGCGCGGTTCAGAGACGGTTCAGAGGCGCTGCGGTGGATTTTGGGCAGAGAGCGTGCCAATAACTCGATGGAGGCCAAGATCTGCCATAAATAAATTACATGTATATCTTTAATAAATAAAAACATTTGAACAACATGAATTTTTAAGCAAGAATAATGCATTAATAATTTAAGAAATCACCTGAAATTCTACATTTCTCTAGATTTATTAGAGGTATAGGTTCCAAGTCATATTTTAATATTTATTTTCCTTCAGTAAAATGTAAATCTGGTTTATTCCACTAATATAGCCTCACTGATTCATTGGAATTGTATAAAGAAAAATAATAATACATAATTGATAGATAATGATTGACTAATATGTAAATTAGTTGCAAATATGCCATTTATAATATCATTTAATTAAGTTTTTCATCTTATTATTTTTAAATATCAGCTTAATTTTAATTAAAACATTTTTATTTATATTTAGTCATTTACGTAATTTTTGCTTCATAAAAATATACCTACATGTATATATCCACAGTTATCTGAAATATTCAATCATTTACTTGCACTTTTTATGCTTAGGCATGAATAATATGTATAATAAAACAATTATATTTGTTAGTAAAGATATTACACCTCATATGACAAATGTAACTAAATAGAATAACAATATTGAAATATAAATTTTGAAAACTGGAAAACTGCAATAATTCTGACATAAATATACACTTTACTGAAATATTTTGAATCCAGAATTATTATTATAAAGACTCTGCTGCCATCTTGTGGCAACTCATATGCAATACAAATTGACATCAATCAAATCGACATATTGACAAATTAAAGAGAATGAGAGACAAACTGAGAGAAGCAGCAGTCAGACAGGCGTTTGCACATTACCTGAGGGAAAAGAGGTCTTTCTTCTCGCTTTTTCTTTAGACAATCTGCCATAAGTCTCTTCATGGCCTTAGGACAATTGCTGCGCACCTTGCTCAAGTCAGGAGACAAGTAACCCCGGCCAACCATGAAGATAATCTACATGATAATAAAAGACACTCTCAATAATTTCCCCTATATTCAGATATCTACAGTAATCTGCAGAACTGATTCATTCTGCAGAACATAGTGCAGAACTGATTCATTTCACAGATATCCTGTTACACATACAGTTTTCACATTTACACACAAAAAAAGAGGATTAAAAAACAAAACAACAAGTAGTACTATTGAGTCTTATCAAATATAGACATATAATGCATGTTCAAGAAGTAAAAAAAACACACCACTAGTCATAAATTTCAACCTGTTCATCATTTAGAAAAGAATAGTTACTGATAGGACTTTACCTGGTCTCTGTTGTTGATGTTTGAATAAGGCAAAGCCCCTGACATAAGCTCATAAAGCACTATGCCGAATGCGTAGACGTCCGACTGGAAACTATATGGGTTTTTATCCTGCAGTCTGATCACTTCTGGAGCCTGAAAACAAAATAATGGCTCAGTCCAGATGCGAATGTCACAAAATCAGGGCTGACATTCAGTATGTAAGATGTGTTCCTTCACTCACCATCCACAAGATAGAGCCTGAAAGTTGCTCAAACTGGTGTGATCCGCTCCAGCGGGACTTCACTGTAGCCAGACCGAAATCTCCAATCTTTACCGTTAAATCCTCGTGCAAAAAGATGTCTAGAGAAGTGATGTTACGGCTAATATTTCAGCATATGCATATAAAACTGGACATTACTATGTGTGAATTTCTTATACCTACCAATAGTGACCAAAAAAACACAGTCTTTATTGATAATTAGAAAGTTTTTACATGTACTAACGAAAACGAAACTTATTAAATTATAAAAACTAAAAATATAATAATAAAAATTACAAGTATATAAATAATTATAAAGGTATTAAAACATTGGTAAATTAATAGCAGGAGATACAAGTTATATTGATAAAAGATTCAAATATATATATATATATATATATATATATATATATATATATATATATATATATATATATATATATATATATATATATATATATAAAGCTTTAATAAAATAAAAAATAAACATTTAAATGAATTTAATTGTATTATTATTATTATTCTGTTAAATTGATTTTGTCTTTTGTTTTACATTTATTGATTTTTATGGACCGATTTAAAACATAATAATAGATTTAATAATTAACTTTTTAAATACAGTATAATGCAATATATTTCAATGAATACAAATCAGTGATTGATGTCAAAGGATACTGTTACTCTTCAGATCTCTATGGATGATGGACTTTGCGTGCAGATAGCTGTGAAAGAAAAGGATTTAAAAGGGGTAAATTCATGAATTACAATCGGAGCAGCTGTATTATAATAACAACTGGTTTTACAAGCAAGCATAACATACTGTGTAGGACTGTATGTGACTAGTTAGAATTTCATTTGATTACAACCTTCGTTTAAGCCAAAAGTACAATAACTTTTATTCTAAACCATGAACGTTTACACCAAGGATAATTACTATGCTCATAACAGCAAATATATAGTTGTAAAATCTTTCTAAACACAAGTGAATAGCAGAATCCACAGCACAACTCTAACGATAAAAGTATATTGGAATCATGTTCATAACGATTTTTTATAGCTGTTAAAATAAATAAATAAATAGACAAACATATAGATAGATAGATAGACAGACAGACAGACAGACAGACAGACAGACAGACAGACAGATTGATAGATAGATAGATTTTTGAGTTTTGTTAAAAGAAAACCTGAAAATATAATGACAGGTACAAATAAAGTCACAATAAATGGAAAAAAAAGCTGAAACATTGAATCATCAGATGACTCCGCTTATACTAAATAGCGCTTTTCATTCATCATCATCAATTTATTGTGTTTTGGTGCAACAGTGCAGATCTGTGGTCGGTGTTTAGCAGCAGTGACTCACTCCATGCCCTGAGCTGTCTGTCGGGCAATGTCGATCAGCTTGATCATCTCGAACTTGGTCTCGATGATGTGCAGGTGGTGGTAGAGACTCGAGCCTTCGCACCACTGAGTAACAATAGCCAGCTGGGGTTTGGTGGTGTAGCCCATGAACAGCAGGATATTCACATGACGGGTTTTCCTGCACAAAACAAACCATTTTCTATGAAGCATGACCTTTAAACTCAGTGCACTTGAAGAAACAATAGGTGTGTAGGAAAACAAAATTAAAATCACCATCTTAGGTTGTGTGAAAAACAATTAAGCAATCTCACACACTATCAATACTTGATCAAATATTAAATTAAATGTAATGTTTCAGTAATGTCTTGGATATATATATTATTACTCTTGGTATTTATTAGCGAAACCATTTGTTAGGGACGTATTTATTTATTTATTTGTTTGAATGAAGGATGTTTTGTCTTGCCTGTTATATATCATAGATATGTTATATATGCATTAGTGATATTTATTAGTTATCGTTTTCTTAAATATGCTGTGATGAAGTTATTTTTAATCCTGCAATTTTTGTTCAGTACAGGAAAAATGTATAGAATTATACATTGTAAACACCCCCCAAGGGAATTAAAGAATTATCCACAATGAATTGATCATCGATTTGCCATTGGCTTTGCCCAAGAATAAAAGGAGTATGCAATTTCAGATGCATCCTCATTGCCAGTTACAGGAACACTAGGCTTTCTTTTACCTGAGGACACCCACTTCATTCTTAAAGGCTTGTAGCTGCTGTGGAGTGGGAGCTGTAACATTCAACATCTTTACCGCCACGTCACCTTTAAAAAAACAGAGGAAGAACATACGATTTAGACTTTTAGATTAGGCTTCTGCCGGTATCAACATTTCTTGTTGAAATTAATTGCTGAAGGGTTTATCATGGTGTATGGTATTAGCTCAATATTGACCTAAGCTGCAACAAATACATGTATATAACCAAAAACACTGTGTATCACGCTATTGTGTATACAGAACAAATGTTTTAAACAAGACAAATTGCAAAAGGAGACTATATTGTAATAATTGCATTCGAATCATATTTCCATTGTAAGAAATGGATATCCATTGTAAGAAAGTCTATAGGTTTGTTTCTATCCAAATGTGTTAATTAGACTTGTGCGCAAAACTGGAATATCACATAAAACATTTGCAAATAACGCACTGACAATAAAAAAAATAAATAAATCTAATAATAATAATAATTTATTAGATATTAACTCCATTTAATAAAAAAGGTAACAACTATTGATTTTTATGAGTTATTAGGCACCAACTAAGAAATTTAACTACATCGTAGATTAGGTCTGGGTGGTATGACGGTATATATTGTAACTGCAGAATGAAATGTGTACCATAAATGTTTTTATTCAGTATATACCGCGAAATGTAAATAAGTTGCCAACTCATTCATTCATTCATTTTCTTGTCGGCTTAGTCCCTTTATTAATCCGGGGTCGCCACAGCGGAATGAACCGCCAACTTATCCAGCAAGTTTTTACACAGTGGATGCCCTTCCAACCGCAACCCATCTCTGGGAAGTTGCCAACTATAAATATATACATACACATAAATACATATATACAAGAATAGCAATTGTTTATAATTTGTATTTTTTCCTATTATTTACTTGGGAAATATTTCATACCTGTGAGAAGATATTACTTGAGAAATGTTTATAATAAGGTCTGCCCACATAATACTGTGAAATGTAACATATACATTTTTATTGTTCATCTAAATTTATAATTTGATTACTAGATTTAAAAGGGTAAAAATAAAACACTAAATAATCAAACACAATCACACTTTCGTATTTATTATATAAAGCCCTTTTATTCATTTTCTGGAATGTAATAGAAATGTTGTGGAACTTAAAAACTATATTGTGAATTATATTGGTACCGTAAAATAAATTCTCATATTATGAAATAAAATTATGGTCATACCACCCTGCCCCACCTAAGATTTAAACATTGTTTTGTAGTTGTCTGATTATTCTTAAAAAATCATTTAAAAATAATAAATATGTTTTAAAAGTTCATGGTATTTTGAAGTCAATACCAATATCAATATTCTGCATGTTCATTATCCTAATATACTGAATTATTGAATATTGGCATACGTCTACATTCCTTAAAACCAAAAATCACTCTCAGATGACCCACCGTGCCATTTCCCCTTGTAAACTGTCCCAAAAGAACCAGATCCTATCCGCTGGCCCAGAGTAATCTGCCCTTCTGGAATCTCCCAATCATCGCTCGAGTCCCGTCGACCCAGAGTTTTCTATTTGACAAAAACAAGCATCAAATACCATTCCTCTATGACCTGAAAGTGCCAAACCAGGACCAGACATTTTTACCATTTTATTGCGGTCCTCAGATGAAGACGATGGCTTCCTCTCCCTCGGTTGGCACGGAGATTTGGACACCTTCACATTGGGCAGGGAACCTGGCAGGGAGGCAGGGGGAGTGGCGGACAGGCCTGTTGTTGAGCCTGGCATTGCAAACAGAATCAAGTTAATTCAACAGCAAATGTGGGAGTCAATCTAGAGAGAGACAGAGTAAGAGGGGAAGGAAACAGGAGGAAAGGAAGAAAATCTTGTGTAGAGTCACATGGGGAGAAGAAGAGAGGAAAGGGTCACATCACAGCCCATGCAGTGTCAAACAAGGGGGCTGTGAGCGATGCATGCCCGGAACTACACCTCAGGTATTTTCAAAATTATTGTGACCTCTGATTATATATTATATATCTGGTTACTTTTAAGTAAAATGCGTAAAAATCATTAATTAAAATATATATAACTGAAATACTAAATGTTTAACTGAAATAAAATTATGGTAGACGTAATGAATAAATAAATATCCCATAATTGTATTCTTGTTATGGTTAATAACTAATAAAAGTCACTAATACATTAATAAAAGTAAAAAAAGAAAGAAAAATAGTACATAAAATTATTAAATATTAAAATTATTTTATCTATTTAAAAAACTATTACATTTATTGAATAGTATTAGATATTGTAGTAATAAATATTTTAAATACATAAATATGAAATACCACAGGCAAATTAAACACTCATTTTAAATAATGTAAGTGAACTGAGGTATCACAACATTATTATATAAAATGTGAAAAAGGTAATATTTATTCTGAGATTAAATAATCTGAAATAAAAACTAGGTTACATAAAATAGATATATATAACTAAAAACAAAAAAAATAATTGCAATAAAATTAGGAAATATAAAAGTTATAAAAAAAAAAAGACATCCCATAACTGTTTTCTTGTTATGGTTAATAACTAATAAAAGCCACTAATACACTTATAAAAATGTTTAAAAAATAATACATAGTCATTAAATATTAAAATGATTTTATCTATTAAAATAACAATTTATTAAAAAACATTATTATTATTATTATTAAATGTTGTAGTATTAGATGTTTTAAATACAAAAATGTAAAATACCACATGCTAAGACATTTTAAATAATGTAAAGATTGAGGTTTCACAACATAACAATTTAAAATGTGAAAAAGGGAATATTCATTCTGAGATTAAATAATCTAAAATAAATAAATGGGTTCATAAAATAGATATGCACCTGAATCACAAAATATATACTTGAATTAACATTAGGAAGTATTAAAATTACAAACAAAAACTAAACAAACAACAATATCCGATGTTTTCTTGGTATGACTAATAACTAATAAAAACCACTAATACACTAATTAAAATGTTTAAAAAAATACATAGTCATTCAATATTAAAATGATTTTATCAATTAAACAAACTATCAGTTTTTATTCAACTAATATTAGATATTGTAGTATTAGATGGTTAAATAAATAAATATTAAATATCACATGCTAAATAAATACTCACTAATTTCAAAGTAAGTGAATTGTGGTATCACAACCTTATAATATAAAATGTGAAAAAGAAATGTTCCTTTTGAGATTAAATAATCTAAAATAAATACTTGGTTCATAAAATAGATATATAACTAAAATACAATGCATGTAATTAAAAAAAAAACTGAACAAACAATAATATCCCATAATTGTTTTCTTGTTATGGTTAAAAGTTAATAAAAGCCACTAACACACTAATAAAAATGTTTAAAAAAATAAAACAAAGTCATTAATATTTCAAATGATTTTATCTATTAAAATAACTATCAGGTATGTTCACTAAAATAATATTCAATATTTTAAAATGTATAAATATGAAATACCACATGCCAAATAAACACAGACTAATTTTAAATAACGTAAGTGAATTTTCATTCTGAAATGTTTTAATTAAATGGTGATATTAAGTACTTGTGTTGTTAAAGATTATCTTTAAGTGAGGATTACAAAACATCAATAAATAGGCACTTTTAATAATAAATTAATCAATTAACACATCTTCAATACTGATTAATACATAATCATTTAAAGGTAGAGATATTTGTAAAATGTCACATTAGTGGCATTGCTGGCCTGATTATGTGATTTTGTAGTGCGTTGAGTTAAAGAAAAGTGACTGCAGCCCTTCAAAAATGTCAGTGAAAGCATTTGTGTGAAAGAAGTGGCAGAGAAAGCGTGAATTCAAACAAGGAGGAGTGAAATACATCCACAATACATACAAGGTGGAAGACAGACAGACCAGAAAGACAGACAAACAAGCAAAAGACGAGACAAGGTGTAGGACACGGCCACGCACAACGGCCTCGCTACCTCTGAACACTGGCTCAGGCTCAAAATCAAAGACAATGTCATTGGGGTGGGAGGACAGAAGGGGGCTTGAGGTCCGTGTTCGGTTCTTCCTCAAGCAGCGGGCTGGGTGTTGCGAGGGGGCTGCAGGGGGGAGAGAGACAGACACGGGATCACTGGCCCCTGAAGCTCAGGTGCACCTCCAGTTACCCACTACCAAAAATCCTGTGTCTACTCTCAGACATTGTTTACAGATCATTAAGTGGATTCTAGGTGACACAGAGCCAGTCTGTCCTTATAAGGATAGTTCAGCCAAAAAGTATTGTTCGGTTATCATTTATTCACCATTGTGTTGATCTGTTGCTTTTATATGAACGTGTTTATTTTGAAGGCATGAAACTGTAGGTTTAACAGTCTTTTTTTTACTGGTGTGACCTTGAAAGTCTTAAAAAGTGAAGCCAGAATATTTTGATCACCCCCTGGTGGCTTTCTGCAGTATATGTCATAAACCCCACCCTTTATATGTAAACAAAGCTAATGTGGGCCAAATTTGAAAATCTTATTACAGTAGAAGTTCTATTTTATTCCCTATTGTGACCAAGTGCATCACATATATCCTAAAAAAACGAAGCCCAAACATTTCAATTGCCCCTTAGTGGCTGGCTGCAGTATAGGTCATAAACTTGCCTTCTCTATGTAAATGAATAGGATGCCAGATAATTTAAAAAATCTTATATCAATAGAAATTACATTTTCTTCCCTATTGTGATCAAGTGCACCGCATATGTCCTGAAACATGAAGCCAAAAAGTTTCAATTGGCCTCTGGGGGCTGGGTGCAGTATAGGTCATAAACTCCACCCTCTCTATATAAACAAATGGGATGTCAACCAAATTTAAAAATCTTTTTACACTAGTAATTAAATTTTCATTGATATTTTGACCAAGTGTACCGCATATATCCTAATAAAAACTAAGCCCAAATTTTTCCATTGCTGCCTGGTTCCTGGCTGCAGTATAGATCATAAACTACAGCCTCTCTATGTAAATGAATGGCATGTCAACCAAATTTAAAAATCTTATTACACTAGAAATTCTACTTTCTTCCCTATTTTGGCCAAGTGAAGCACATAGATCCTGAAACATGAAGCCAAAACATTTCAATTGCCCCCTGGTGGTTGGCTGCAGTATATGTCATAAATTCCACCCTCTTTGTGTAAACAAATGGGATGTCAACCACATTTAAAAATTGTATTACACTATAAATAAAACGTTCTTCCCTATTGTGACCAAGTGAAGCGCTTATATTCTAAAACATGAAGCAAAATCATTTCAATGGCCCCCTGGTGGCTGGCTGCAGTATCGGTCATAAATCTTTCCCTCTTATTTAAAAGTATTCTAACATCTTTGCTTTTGGGTGGGGGATTAATTTAATATAAGACTTGCGTTCTTTCTTTTGGGAGACAATAAATCTATTTGTTTTAGACTTAAATCTTAAACTTTGTTAACATTTTATGTTTTAACACACTACATTAAAAGTAATATCTGAAGTTGTAAAAAAGGGGCAAGGGCCTTAATTTTACTCCAATATTCTAATAATTTTTACATTTGTTTTACGGAAAAAAAGCAACTTAAACATTCTTCTAAACATCATCTTTTTGTGCTCCTCATAAAAATAAAGCCAAAGGAGTATGAGATGGCAAATGTGAGTAAAAGATAACCGAATTTACATTTGTTGGCGGTGAACTAGTCCTTAAACAAAGTATTCACATTCTTGGGACATGTTTTGAGGAAGCAGAAAAGACAGGGGCAAGTTTGAGAACATTGATTAGGATTTAGTAGTTTACAGCAGGCCGCTAGTGATAAAGAAAAGGGCAGAAGCACTTCACAAAGCGGACAGGGGAGAAAAAAGCCTGTTTGTCGGCTCTAATAGCAGGCAGAGTGAAATGGATCAGCTGTCCCAAACTTCTAAGGCCAATGACACAGAGATAGCACAAAGACATGGGATGACGGAAAGCCATTTGAATTCAGTGTGTCTCAGTGTATGTTTCGTAAAACCCTTACCTCCATCTGACCTCGGTAAGCCTTGATCACGAATCAAATCCTGGATGGAAATAACACAGATTAGCAAGCACTAAGGGGAGATTTGGTGCCTTTTGGTTTAGGGTACTACAAAAGTATCTTATATAGTTAATATTAATAAAGTAATGAAATAAGAGCACACCTCAAATACTTACAGTATTAATTTTTCTGAAACTATTTATAAAAGAAAAGTCCACCTATTCAAAAGGGATTAAATCCTTTTGACTAAAATATCATTCTCACATCAATGTTGACCGGCTCAATGGTGTTGATATGGACGTTAGGGGCTGATGAGGAGCGATCCCTCTGACCAAACTGGTTACGGTGGTCCTCTTCTCCAGGTCTAAAAGATTGCGGGATAGGGATGGATTTGGACGGGGACACAGTAGGATGGCACAGAGAGCTGCAGAAAACAGAGACACAATGACATTTTGCATAGTTTGTTTGTTTACGATACAATTTTGGTTCCAATACTAAGCCTAAACCCCAATTACTTTTTTCCCAAGGGCCAAATTGTGTAAAGCAAGCCAAGTAGGGGGCAGAGCTAAATTTGATCATGCTGGAATTTAAATTATTCAAATAAATAAATGGCTTACACAGGTAACTGTGCTTGACAAACCATCTGTAGAAATATAGTCATTCATATTTCTGACATTTTAACCAACACTTGCACTAAACACTATCTTACAATCACTTCTCAAAAAAACACATTGTGCATTTATGAAGTGTGCCTAACACAGGTTAGTGGGCTTGACAAACCACCTGTAGAAAACGCACTTTAATCTCTCTGACACTTTAACCGACACTTGTATTAGTTTTGCCTCAGACACTGTCTTACAATCACTCTATATCTCAAAAAAGTAGAGCATTTATGAAGTGTGCCTCACACAGGCGAGTGGCATTGACAAACCACCTGTCAAAACATTCTTCTCTCTAGAAAAAAACACTCATTTTCTTTACTCTAGCAATTAATACTCTGAGCACTAATAGTACCTTTGTATAATCAGTACTTCTTGTTGAATCGCTGAATGTCTCGTCAATTCTAAGTCGCTTTAGACAAAATCGTCTGCTAAATGACTAAATGTAATGTTTTCCAAATATTTTTCATGATAAGTAATATATTTTACTATTATAAATAAATATAAATGAAGCTTTTCCTAAAGTGTTACTGACAAAATTTATATAAAAATTGCACGTACACATTCCTTCAGCATTTAACAACAATTTAAGCTACAATTCATAAATCACAAGGATGTGTAAAATGCCACATTTGCACTCCATTGACCATATTTTAGAGCAATTATAACTATGATATGATATAATGAAATTATAACTACTTTAATTATAATAAATATAACATATTAATATCATGTAACATGTAATAATGCTGATTCAATCTTACCCAGTAGATTCGGATGGTGGTAGCGAGGGGCACATCTCTGAAATGGGTGTCGTGCCCTCTGATGACACCTCCTCCTGGGTGATGGGGTGGTGCACCAGAAATTTTGATGCCAGCAATAAACTGAACAACAAAAAATATGAACAACAATGACAAAAAGCACAAATAAATGACTGAAACTTAATTTCTTTGATGGTGAATATCAACTAGAGTAAATTAATTAATTGTTTTATTTCCAAGCCTTTTTTACTGAGCATTTTTCAGAAGAAGGGAAAGATCTCCCATGAGCACTCACTCCAGCTGATCGTAGTTGACACACATGAGTGGGACCTCCGTGCTGCAGCGCTGGTGAAACTTATAGCCACACGTCTGACAGCGGAAGCCTTGAAACAACAGCTTCCGGCAAAAATCACAGAAGGCCAGCGTGAAGAAGGTCTTTCGCACCTGTCGAGTAACAAAAATAATGCTTTGGATGCTTCCAAAAGGCAAAATTTCATTCTTTTTGGTCATTTCATATTTAGTTTTGTGGTCCTTTTCAGCATACTTACAAAATTATGGGTCGTCAGTGGCACATTTTCTAAAACTTCAACGTGAAGCTCCTCCCCCGTCAACCAGGAAATGTCTGTGTCCCAGCCAATGGGCTTCTTCTCCCTGGAATGGGCGGGACAGTCATTAAGTATGAGTAAAACTGATACCCTAAATGTTTTGGTACTGCAGGGTTTCAGTTAGTACCGGGCCGCAGAAGAAATCATTCATTTTCTTTTTATTTATTTAGACTATGAGCGATCTTTTAATCTGAAGAATCTTTTATTTTAAAAAATGATATTAAAAAATAATTCTCTAAGTAACATCTCACTTAATCCTGCAGCTAGCAAAAACTGATTTCTTTGAAAAGTTTCTATGCGAAGGGGGAAAAAGCCCAAAGAAGAACCCACAAATTGCCAAGGAATGGATCTGCAACCTATTTGTCTATAAATCAGGTGAATCTAGTATGTCAGTGCAAGAAGATCAACTGCTGGAGATTGCAAATTACAGCAGCTTTAGGGGCCGTTCATATGTCGCTTGTTTTCCGCACTCAAATTCATTATTTCCAAAGGAGGCCCACGGCTTGTGCACATATAATGGGAGCGTTGCATGCAAGTGGCGTGACACCCTGGTGCCTTCAAAGTGTGGCCAGTTGAAAACATCTTTCAGAATGCTGCAAGCACACAGCGAGTCACTTGATAAAAACTGACGAACAGCTTTATACTTTGTATGGAATATATACATTTCAGTAGACAAATTGCTTCAGATAAACACAGAACGCCCAAACACTGCAGTGCTTTTTGATTTCCTCTATAAATAAAACTCGTATCAGAGTTACAGCAAAGATTCGTCAGGTTTTCATCCCGAGAAAACAGTTGATGGTTGCATAGCAATCTACGTGGATCCAACAACCACCCCATCGTTATTTTGAAGTGTCTATTTAACATGCATTACAGATTTTTGATCATTAAAGCAGTGGGTCATCCTGGTACTTTGGCTCCCTTAGTGTTTTTCAAATACTATGAATACATTTTTTTTATGTATTTTGTATTTATTCGATTTTTCTGGCAGTTAAACAAACAAGAACAAAATGAAAACTAACAGGAACAATTAATATAAAGAATAATAAGTCAAATTCAAAACATAATATATTGACCATATGTAACAATATATAATATGCATAATAACTGTAAGAGAGTTTATTTCCATATCAGCTTCTCTGGCTATGCCATGTCAAAAGCAAAATGATTTTAGAATTATTACTTTTAAATTATAAAAAGCTTTAAAGCAATAAAAAAAGACATCAAAGCAATGAATAATGCATAAAATAAGATCAAAATCTTTAATATTTTGATGAAAATTCTAATTGAAGGACTCAAACTTATTATAAAGGACTTATTATAAGGACTTAAACTTATTATAAATATTTTCTTTAAAGCCTCTCCAGTTAAACATGGTCATCTGATAACAATAAAAACAGGCCATTCAAAAAGTGCATCTTTACAGTTTCTTAGTATTGCAATATTGACATATTGAAGGAGATTCTCCTAAAATAAATTATATACTGATAATATATAAACAAATTCATTTTTATAATATACTTATTAATATATATATATATATATATATATATATATATATATATATATATATATATATATATATATATATATACATACATACATACATACATACATATACATACATACATACATACATACATATATATATATATATATATATATATATATATATATATATATATATATATATATATATACACATATACATATACATATATAAATTATTAATATAATATACTAATAATAATATATTTATATAATAGTAAGTCTTGTGTGACTGATACGGCATCATGTGCACATAACGAAGTGACTATTAATCAAATACTTTGACAATTCTGACATGATACTCGGCTTACATACTGTTTGTTTCATACTATACATAAGGGAAGTTTTCATTTTTAAGACACAGTGATGGTAATGCAATGGTTCTTACCCATCCTGAACTCTATAGACTGCACAGCATTCTGGGATCAAGCCTCGCATCATCAGAGCCTTCTTTAAGGAGTCTCTGACCGTCATCCCACAACGAGCTGGAACCTGAAACACACACACACACACACATACACACATTAATTATTTTCTCAAGCAACTTTCCTCTCCTTACAGTGAGACTGTGGTTCATCTGGGCATGTTTGGTTTCTTGGCTTCTTCTCGTACAGCCGTTTCCCTCTGCTAAACCAACAGAGACAAGCTGAGCAGATAATCAAAATAAAAGGGGTCACCTACATTTGCTCATTCCCATGGACTCCTATTGCTCTACAATCTGGTCGGAGTAGAAATTCCTTCTGAAATACCCGTTCTAAAGCCCTGCCTGATGTCTCGCTGTGAAAACTCGTGAGGAAACATTTGACCATCTCCGTTAGGGATAGAATGTTTTAAATAGAGCTGTGGGCAAAACTTTCAGTGTTGGGTGTAATTAGTAAGGAGGTTTCTGCTAGGAGAGTGTACGTTTAAATAATAGTGTACGTATATATATTGTGTGTATATATATTTTGCATAATAACTAGAACATTTTCTACTAAAACATGTTAGATTTATCCAACAATTGCACATGCATATAAAGCAATGAAATAAGGAATTTGTCAATATATGGTATTTATAAAAATATGGTGTCTTAAATGTGAAATGTTTTTAAAGTGATTTTAAGTGTTATGAAAAATAAAAGTGAAAGTTTCCATTTGACTAATTGAAAGAGTTTATTTTCTACTGTGTATATGCGTGAAGATTTATATAGATTTTATGTTGTACTAAGTCAAGTAATTAAACTAGTTATTGATTAATTAGGTGACTGAGTACAGAGTACATAGAAAAGTAATTTGAATGCAATTATAATGATGTAATTAGCCATTAATTACTATTTTTAAGTAATTTACTTAAGACTGAAACAATAACAGATTAAATGCACCAAATAAAATAGTGCTGAGCAAAATTTAAACACATCCAAAATCAAAGTTTGTGTTGACATAATATATGTTTGTAGTATGCATCATATATATAATACACAAATGTTTATTTTGGATACAATTAATTGCAAATAATTTGAACTCTGCCCTAAAATAAAATTAAGGTCCAGTGCATAATATTCTATATATTATCTATATGAAATGCAAAAACTTTTATGCTCAATATCATATCTCAAAATCATTCAGAACGCAGATAGAACCTTATAATTCCAAGGTGACGATATGAGTACAGCCCTCACAAATCTCTCATCTTAATTCATATTTTCTATGGGAAGCTTTACAATAATATATTTGATTAGTCAGTACTGAAGCTAAATATGAAGCATATCCAACAAAATAACTCGTGAAAACAGTGCAAATTCAGCTCACAAAAAATTATGTAAATGAAAAAATTTAATAAAACATCTATAAAAAAAAAGCAACAATCAAGAGAAACAAAAAAAGTGTAAAATTAGGTGAAATTTTGAGTTTGTAATTTGTTTTCAATATTTTGCTTGAATTTAATTGTATTGTCTTTCTATTTCTAAACATGTTCAGTGACTAACATATTATTTTGATAAATATATCTGTTTAATAAATCTGTTTTGTTCAAATCCACCAAAATATTTTACACTATTTTATATTCACTGAGAAATTGATCAAAATATAAATTTTCAAAATGGAGTGTACTTATTTATGTTGATACAGCAAGCCGCAACTCACCACAGTCCTCTGTTTGTTGGGCAGGAAGACCCTGACGATGGGTTTCTGGGGCGAGCGGGGATTGCCTCGTGTTGCGTCAGTGGGCGTCTGCAGGACAGCTAGGGTGTTTGGGGCAGTGGGGGCACTCTGAATGCCCTGTCCCTTCACGTCCAGCAGGGTGGGTGTCGGCGAGGAGCAGAACTCGGTCCCATTCCCAATAGCTTCCAAAAGCTGCTGCTCCCGCTGCTGTAATGCATCCAGCTTACTAGTGTACTCCTCATAGGCCTGTGGCATGAAGGAAATACACCCTTAATACTTTATGGACACGTTTCGCAAAAATGCTTATCTTTTCAGCCTGCTGAAGGATGAAGATCTGAGATTATGCATTAGCTGCTGCTTTGGATACAAAAAGTGGGGTCATTTTGCTCATTTTACAGCTTAAACTAAAAGCTTGGTCAGTATTTGATAGTACTTTTCAGTCTTTTTTTAATATGAGAGATTTCCTAAGGTTACTGATTTTTCAAACAGCATTTAACAAACAGTTTTCTCTCCCACAATCATAAACATAAACCACGAAGATAAATAAAACTTAAAATGGAGTATAAATCGGACCTCCAAAGTGTTTAAAATGATTGATGTTAATATTATTTGTACCTTGTTTTGTTTATTATTGTGTCTGTATTATACTTAATAAAGAGAGAAATTAGTAATTACACTGGTTTTGAAATAATGCAGTTTTCATTCTGCTATATCTAGGCCTGGCACAATATCTATTTTTTATTGTAGGACATATTGCACCAAAATATACTGCGATAAACAATATTACTGTCTTTTTAAGACCATTTTATGCCACTCATTATATAATATTATTTAATATCATCACAATGATCAGCACTCTTCTTAAGTTCACTTATTCTTAAGAATATTTAATTTAATTATAGTCATTTTAAAAACGTAATAATTAGGGATTAGAATCAGAATGTGAAAACGCATATCCTTAATAAAAAATAATAAATGTTAAGAAAAAAAGTGCAAGGTAATAAGTAAGAGGCTGTATTATCTGCTACCAAATCTATTTTTAGTTGTCAGACAGCCACATGAAAATATACTAAAGTAATAGTATAGTAAATACTATAGTGTTTTTTTAACCATTATGACACCTCCAATAGAAATAGAGATATGCATGGGACGAAAACCGGTTTCAAGGTTTACTGTGGTTTGGAAGTCAAGGTTTAAAAATCGCCCAAATTTTCTATTATACCGTTTACATTGTATATGTACGTTTTTATTTTTGTGTCTATTTTATTTAGTTTTGAGAGTCGATTATTTATTATTATTTAGCCTGACATGTTTACTGTTCCAAAACATTTTAAATATTTATAAAGGTATGTTTTTTACCCAGACATAAAAAATATTTATATATTTTAGAGCAGTAATCACAATACTGTGATCTTTGTATTTATTTGTTATCCTACCATTAAAATTTTATACTGGTCCTTGCCTAGATAGAGATGTTGCGCAATCAGCTAAAGTGTTGCTAGAATCGTTTATGGGCAATATTTATTGCATCACCAAAAATGATTGAGGTCATGTTCATATGTTGTGCGGTAAGTCGATAGATTGATTATAGTGACAGACCTAGCTATGTCAAAATGAAAGTTTTTTTTAAATATTAAAAAAGAGAGTTTGTTGTTAAGTAAAAAAACTATTCTCTAAATAGCATAACAGGAACATGCATAAACAATTATCAGAATTTAAAAAAAATGTATTTATTATCTGTTTATTAAACTGCAGGGTAGTTTAATGGGAAAATAGAAACAAATATTTTTTAAATAGTTATATTTCAATGAGATTTTCTTTTAATACTGAACAAATTATAAGTGTGTTAAAAATAATTTTGACACTTTCAATCAATTCTACCACCTAATTTCTGCATTAGACTCTTTGCAGTGCATTTTTGGTATGATTGTTGGGATAATATCTTTGAATTTTTAGAAATATATTTTTTAAAGATTTGCATGAGCAATACCAGTCTTTTAAAAATATTTATATTTGGGAGTTTTTGTTTTTATTGTGACAACACAGTAGTTGGACAGAAAGCAAAGCTAAAACTAGAGAGAAAAGGATGGGATAAGGAAAAGTCCGTGAGCTGGGACTCGAACTCGGTATGCCTGAAGCACAATGGCGCAGCACACTCCCCATGATGCTATCATTGCTGACACCAGTTTTCCTTTTAAGACTGATATATTTTTTACAATTTTAATGCAATTAATATTTCTATTTTGAACAATTTACAGCAGCAATGTTCAGAAACCAGCAGGAGCCTAGATTACAGTTGAAATCCGTCCACAACCGTTTTATTTATTTGCCTTCCTGCGTACTTTACCCTATTTTCATTTCCTAGCACAAGTCACAAGATCACAAGAACAACAGAAGTATAGAAGTAGAAAATGTACTGTGTCTTGGCTGACTGATTCTGTAATCAGACCACTGAAAAAAGAGTTAATAATAGACACAGGGTTTTACTATAGTCAGACACCTTTATATTATATCAATCAATCTTTAGCTTAATTTGCCTCCCTAAAGAGAAATTTGTCTTGGGCAATCGAGAGAACATTTAGTGACAAAACAAATATTAATACCATATAAAGAAGACAAAAATATCTTACCTCTAGATATATAGACGGTGGATTGTGTTCTCCTCCAAACTTATCTAAAAGGGCTTCTAGGTGCTCTTGAGTTAACTTAATCATCTGTTTAATATTCCATATCTGCAAAGAAAGCCAGAGTTAGCAAACCAAAGCTTCTCTTTCAAAATACATTTCCTTAAATGAGCAAGTGTTTAAAAAGAGACCTTCGAACTTCAGCACTAATGAGTGAGAACCTTACTGTAAATCTAATAAACACTCAATTGCTTGCTTGTCTCCGCTAAAGCTGTAAAAACTGACACCGGTGATGCTCATAGAAACTGTGATATAGTGATTAAGAATGAGGTGCGACATGATGAGTACAGACAAAGAGCTCTAGCAAAGAAGCAGTTTCATAATGCTTCACAATTCAAAAGCCATTAATGGATCTTTTGCAAATATAAATGCTCTTATTTGTTTGAGCAACCTGACAGAGCAACACTGATATAATGGTGTTGTGTTGGGGAGAGGGTATATTATTGTCTATAACTAATGGAAGGAGACGTCCAGAAAACTTTTCTTTATTTTTGCAATTTCTTTTCATGTCAAAAATGCATGCATGACCCCAACAAAAATAAATAAATCAACAAAATTTTTAGTTAGAATGAATGCATTTAGAACTAAATTTTTGGTGTGCATGAGGTGGCAATTTGGGAGAGTATTATATATGTTGTAAAAAATAAAAAGTACTATCTTGGTGTTCATATAATCATATTTTTATTGAAGATATTTCAACAATATTTTGCTGAGTGTGTGTTTTGTGCTCATACATTGGGTCGATTAAGTCTGTCTTGGATAAGAAATGTAATGAGAAATTTCTAAAAAATAAAGTTATTTAAAGTTATTAAATAAATATTATTATTAATATCAAAGTTATTTGTACAAAACAGCTGATTCATTTAAAACAAAAAAGAAAGTGACTGTCTTCATGAATTGATCATTGATTCATTGACTCATCATTGATTGATCATTGATTCATTGACTTGCTCGGTTTGTTCAAAAACAGATTGATTTAGAAATGACTTTGTTACTATTATCATTGCCAAAACAGATAAAAAGGCAATGTTGTGTTTATAATGTGAAACTCAATATCAGCATTGTTTACTATAAAAAAAAGTGCTGGGTTCCACACTTATCCTTCATGTTGCCCCAACACAAATTGATTATGTTAACTAGGCTGTACGATATTGAACAAAAATTGACATTGCAATATTTAGTTTGTTTCAGATATATCTTGCGATATGAATATAATTTCACAAGATGACTTATAACTCTATTTGGAATGAATTCATCGGGAATTCATTGATTGGGATTATTTTGTGGAGAAGTATCTGCATAATACAATACTGTTGAACCGATATAAATTCATTTCATGGTTTTCTGTGGAATCTAACAGTATTAAGGTACAGAAATTTAAGAAAAATAATAGTAAATAAAATAACACTTTATAGTGTATAGTCTTCATTGGATAAATAATTCAATGCAAATTATTTTGCTCTATATACACCTTTCATAACCTCTTGGCTTAAGTTTGCTTAAATTTTTACAGTCACGAGTCTTAAAAACTCTTTCATCTTTCACTCTATTTTAGGAATAAACTTTACTATAATATCAACATGACATTGCTGATCCTGCAATGTGACTATTGCAGATTCACACATTGTGATATATGAAACGATATATTGTGCAGCCCTTATGTTAACTTAATAATTTTTATACATTTGTAAAGTGTACATTTTGAGTCCCAAAACAACCCTTAGAATGCCGTTGTTTCAACTCATTTTAAAGAAGTTGTTTTTAACAAGCAGCAAAAGACATTTTTATTTGAGTCTTAAAATAAAATCATCAATGCATTGATTTGTGATGTATCGATGTTTTGGAAACCAGAACTCTTGCTTGTTAACACATTTAACAAGCGGATCACACTGTGCAATTTTTTTTATAATCCTAAACGACTGTAGCATGGCAGACTGCAGGAACATGGCTTCCATGTCACACTGTAAGATCTCAGCTGTCACAATGTCAGACTGAACGAGAATGAAGATGTGTCAAACATGGAAAAAAAGTTGCCTAGAATTTCGACGTCATCTATTCGTGATGCTTTCCCTATCATGTGAAATGATTCCTCATAGCAAACATAAACAATATGTAGCCATAATTTTGCACACAGTGTGTCTCAATTTGACATTTCCCCTGCCGTCATTAGAATTGAATTGCGTCATCAGATTCGGCGCTGCTATTGGTTCTTAGATTGAACCAGCTGGTGTCACACTCCACAGTGTCTGAACTCTTCTGACACTACTAGAACTATCACAGATTTTAGCCTAGGATTTCAAGAAACTTTTAGGATTTCCCAAATTTGTCTCGGATGACAAAATCATGGCTGAAATTACAGGGCTTTAGAAATACATTAAACAAACTGTTTTGCTTTCATGGACTGAATTATAGGGTTAACTAATTAAATTCATCACCAAGTAAATTTGACAAATGACAACAAACTAAAGTCAGCAACAACAATTACGGTATTATCCTATGCAATAAATATCACACAACCCTAGTACAACCACATCCATTATGATCATAAAACTCACCCACTTAATTCAAAGTACCACAAAATTACAGCCTGTTTGCAACAAGCAGCAAGCAGTTGCTCAAGGAAACGTGCAAGCAATGTACTTGCTCCAGAAAGCCAATAAACATTTTTCAATTTTGCCAAGCAATACAAGCAGCGGCACCATAAAATACTCCCGAGTTCACTGGAAAACGTCCCAGCCAAGTAAACACAATCTGACAGTGCTACAAAGCTTTACAAGTCAACTTTATTATGATCGCCATTTGGAGAAACAATTTTCCAGCACACTTGTCAAAAATGCCTCTACGCCCCCCTTGAAATAGCACATTTAAGTGCATCTAACTTTAGGTCTGATTAAAAATCCTGCATTCCAAAAGTCAAGCCGCCACTTGATTTCTAATCAACGGTGCAGATAAACTGGCTCTACGAGTCAAATTAATGCAAGAAAATACTGAAAGGCAGGTCCATTCTCAGTAGTCTTGCCAGTATAAACTCCTGACAGGCAAAGATTGCTGACAGTTTCTTAAACAGACGTTTGTTACAAGCCTTTCTTTAAAGCTAACCCCGTGTGGTAATAGAGTGCGTGTTTCCAACATGATGCAACATAAGCAAGACAGTTTAAAATAGCTCAATACTGTGAAATATTTGCCGCCAACCACAGCTTCTTCAGAAAGGAATACTTTACCTAACAATGAACATTCTTGCTTAATCATCCTTGAATCCTAACCTAACGTAATTTTTTTTTTGTGCAGGACACACAGTGAAATAAGTATTTTTGCTGCTTGTTCAAACTACTTACTTATGTTCAATCCACTTTTATTTGTTATGTTAGGGGAGAGCAGGCATAAAAGTACCATCTTTCATAAAATTTGTCTAAAAGATTATGTTTTGGGCAGAAATATTATATATTTTTGCAGTGGTTACTAACTAGTTTGCACAATATATTGTTTCAGCATTGATATTACATTGTGTGCATCTGCAATAGTCACATCACATAGATATGCAATGTTGAGTTGACTTTGCAGTGTAATTTTTTTACATTTACATATACAAAACCATAAGGCATGCACTGCTTATTTCACTTTCATCTTTGCTTATTTACATTCATCTATGCTGTAGTTTGTTTAGTACATTTTATGCATGATTCACTTCCCTACAGAATCATCCAGATCAATCCAAATGAATACTTTCGGTAAGACTTTGAACACATTGCTTACATGCATGTTATAGATATTGGCTGCTTATTAGTACTTTTAAACTACATATTCTGTATGATCCCTAATCCTACACAATACCTAACCTACCTTAATATTAATAAAGATCAAATTGGGAGTTTATTGAAGCCATAATGGTATGCTAAAAGCAAGAATTTCCCCCTAAAATAAAGTGTGAACAAAAACTCTTTCAAACTACTGCTATTTAAACATTTGCTGGAAATGTATAGACCAGGGGTGCCCAAACTAGGTCCTGGAGGCCCAGTTTCCTGCATATTTTACTTCCAATCCCAATTAAACACAAGTAAACCAGCTAATCAAGCTCTTTTTATACAAAAACTTCCAGGCAGGTGTGTTGAACAAAGTTGAAGCTAAGCAATGCAGGACACCCTCCAGACAGTATTTTGCAATATATAGTCACAAAAAACTAATTAATTGCAACGTCAACTTTTTCTAATATTGTGCAGCCATATAACTCATCCGTGTGGTCTATCAATATCAGTTGGTATTTTGAAAAAATGTCGAACAACTTGAATGTTATTTCACTTTAAACATAAATTGAACATTGTTACTTTTGACCCTGTCAGTAGGGTGGGTCAGAAGTAACAACAATATTTGCTTGATTTACTGGATTAATCTTGTTTATTTTAAATATATATACGACTATGACCTTGTTAATGTTAACTGCAAACATATTTTGTCCTTTATTATTTGCAAAACAAATACCAAATTGCATTTTCATTTAAAATTTCAGCTCTATCAAATGTTTCAAAAGCAATCCAGCTACGCACTCAATCAATCAATCAATCAATCAATCAATCAATCAATCAATCAATCAATCCTCTACAATTCTTTTTATATCTAATTATTATTGGCAATAATGTTCTTTTATTATTATATGCATTCATTTTCTAAAATATATGAATCAAAAGACTGCAAACTATAATATGGAAGTGAAAAATAAGCTATAGCTATTAGCAGTGGGACATAAATAACAGGGTTACTTTTGTCCCCAAAGGAACTCTTGATATTTAAACCTGATATAAACTGAAAACCTCAGAGATTGCAAACTTAAGGATTTGTTATTGTGCTAAATAACCTGTAGATTGATCAATAATGCGATGCATAAAAAAGAAAAACACAACTTGTACACTACAATAGTTCACTTTCTGCACTTAAAAACTGAAATTCAGACCCAAGCGTGCGACTTGGTCCCGAAATCGCATAATATTTGGCAGCTCCATCAAGGGTTGCATGCGGAATGCATGGTCATAGCCTGGAAAGCTAATGTTGTCAGGGCTTCAAGAAAATCGATATGTTACTTTCATCCCACGTTACTTTTGTCCCGCTCTCCCCTAACTTAATTTATTTGCATTGAGACAACATGAATGAATTGTGTGGAACTGCATTTTTATGTAAAAAACTTAAAATACTGGTAGCTTTATTCTCATTTATTTCACAACATTAGATAACACCCTAAAAAATAATCCATATGACGTATACAAATCTTTCAAAGCCGTAAGAATAATAAAATAGGCTAAAAATGAAATCATTATTTAATGAAAGGATATACAGTTGAAGTCAGAATTATTAGCCCCCTTTTTATTTTATTTTTTTATTTTTTTAATATTTCCCAAAAGATTTTTAACAGAGCAAGGAAATTTTCACAGTATGTCTGATAATATTTTTTTCTTCTGGAGAAAGTCCTATTTGTTTTATATTGGCTAAAATAAAAGCAGTTTTTGGGACAAAATTATTAGCCCCTTTAAGCTATTTTTTTTCGATAATCTACAGAACGTTATCGTTATCGTCATCGTTATACAATAACTTGCCGTATTCCCCTAACCTGCCTAGTTCACCTTATTAATCTAGTTAAACCTTTAAATGTCACTTTAAGCTGTATAGAAGTGTCTTATATTATTTCAGGTCAAATATTATTTACTGTCATCATGACAAAGATAAAATAAATCAGTTTTTAGAAATACGTTTTTAAAACTATATGCTTATAAATGTGCTGAAACAATCTTCCCTCCATTAAACAGAAATTGGGGAAAAGAATAAACAGGGGCGCTAATTATTCAGGGGGGCTAATAATTCTGACTTCAACTGTATATGAGAGAACTGTTCATGAATTGCATTGATCAAGTTCACTTTAAACAACCTGTGATTCTTAAAAGCCCACTTTAGATAAAGATAAAGATGAGTCGTAAATAAATAAAGCTTACATATTAAAACATCGTATATCATTAATGCTGCCTTTGGATATTTTCAAAGCGTAAAACACCATTGCATTCTTCAAAACGTCTCATTTGGTTTTGGAACTGCATCATGAGAAAATGATGACAGAGCTTTTTTTTTTTTTTTTGCCTGAACTATTTCTTCTATATTCATGTCAATAAATGCAGATATAAATATAAAAGGAATAAGCCGCATATAATCAGACAGTGCAACACTGTTACTCTGGCCAGCAGTAAAATTAATCTAATTACCACTAAGCACTGCTATAATGATAACTTACACAAGCAGCTCTTTAATCCGACTAGTCTGGCAGCAATATAGGTAAGCTGTTTCCTGAATAACCAGGTTTGTGACCTGTTCCATGACAGTGTAAACTTTCCAAATTAAACAAAATGAATGGATGCCTGTCTGCAAAAACCAAGTTGGTAGCAGTGTTTTGAAAAATGGTTTCTAGATAGTCTAAAAAGGAAAGAAAATCAGAAGAGTTTTAAAATGTACCGTAGTTAATGATTTCCAGAAAGAAAAGCAGCTGGAATAAAAAGCATTTGGTTGCATAAACCAGACTGAGAAACATAAAATAGCTCATTTTAGCTTGTAGACAGTAGACAACCAGCTACTACTGTAGTTGATAATACCAACTTCATGTGGTTTCTGAAACATTGTATGTGGTTTAAACTCAAGTTTCAAAACACAGTTACAAATTTAAACTTTATATTTCTGCAAAGTGCAGAACATAAAATAATTGATAATGTATTATGTCATCGAAAGCTTATTGAATGCTTTTTGTGCTCAGGTCTGGAACTACATCAGGGTAAAATCAACATAATAGGCTTAGAAATGTTTTAAAACAAGGTATATGTACATATATTTTAGATTAAATGTTAGCTGAAATGTTCCTAAACACAGCTCCCGATTGGATTAAACATGTTTTGGAATGTACTTTTAGCTTGTATACTGTTGAAATACCAGCTTAATTTTTTTTCAGAAACACTGCAGAAGCTGCAAACTAGTCGACCATAACGCAAAACACATCTACAAATTTAAACTTTATATTTCTGCAGAGTGCAGAACATAAAATAATCGATACATTAATGTGTCATTGAAAGCTTTCTGAATGCTTTTCGTGCTCAAGTCTGGAACTACATCAGGATAAAATTAACATAACAGGCCTAGAAATGTTTTGAAACACAGTAAATGTACATATTTTTTAGCTGAAATGTTCCTAAACACATCTCCTGATTGGATAAATCATGTTTTGGAATGTACTTTAAGCTTGTATACTGTTGAAATACAGCTTAATTTTTTTCAGAAACACTGCAGAGTCTCCAAACTAGTCGACCATAATGCAAACCACAGCTACTAACAAACTGTAATGTGCAGAACGTAAAACAAATGACACTTTTATAATGCACATAAGTCAGATAACTATCTAGTTTCTAACTGCTAGACGTCAACAAACCAACCACTAGCTGATAATACCAGCATATGTTGGTTTGTGAAATATAATAGATGGTGCGATCTGATTGACCATGTTCCAGTACAGGGCTACTACTAACTTAATGTATGTTCCTGCAGGGTGCAGAATGTACCCACGAAATACCCCAGTGTGTAGCTACATCTAACAGCAAAAGGCCCCTTATAAAGCATGCAGCATAGGTGATTTGTGCAGACAGACAGCTGACAGCTCCGAAAAAAAGAGATGCACGTTGCAATAAATATGCACGGGTTAAAAACGAATTCAATGCACGAGCACAATGACATCACTGCAGGTTTAAATGTAAATGTAAATGCATTCGACTCGCAGCTCGCGCCAGCTGCTGACACAAAGGAGATAAAACAATGCGCGTTCATTTGCCCCATTGCATCTGTAGTTCGTCATTACTGAGATGCATCGCAAGGTGAGATGTGTAGCATGCACGCTACTGTATGCAGCAGGGATAATAATGCCATTGAAACACGAACAGGCCTTCTGATAAACATTGGCTCAGAGAACTGCACTGAGAGAATTATAAATGGCGTCATTCGGAAATGCACCTTGCGAAAATGCATAAGCGCACTACATAAGATCTGCTCGATTATACATCAATTTCCCTGCATCATCTCATCCCCCTGCAATGCATTGCATCCCCCCGCGATCCGTATTACAGCCGGTGTTTCCTGAACATCTCCATCCAACCCAGCTCCGCTCATCAGCCGAGCTTTCCTTCAACCCTGATTCCCCCCATTGTACCTCCTCGGGAATGCCCTGTTGACATTCGGGGATCGCCGCTTCTCCGGGACAGGCGGGTTCGAGCCCCGCGCCCAGCTCGTCCAGTCCCGGGTCCCGCTCCGGATCGCGGTTCATGGTGTCTCCGTTGAAGACGGGCGGTGGGGACTCGGCGCTGCTCAACGCCGCCATTTTAAACCACGAGAAACTGAGTGGAAAATAATAGAGGAAAGCAACAGAGATCGAGACAGGAGGGGGAGACAAATTCACCAAAATGTAAACCCGTGGAGGGGTAAACGGGGATACTGGACGCCGACCAGGGCACTAATATTTTTAATGATAAAAATCCTAGTCGCAATTTTGTTTCGGTCATCCTATTCAAACCACACGGTGTTATACTTAGGCAGACAGGTCATTTAAAGGCAGCTGTTGAATCTAGTAACACAAAAGTACTGTACAAACTTTATTTTTTATGTGCACCCATTATAAAGGCTAAGCAGAGAGCATCCAACATCATCTCACATCAGGAGGTGTACCTAAAAATCTGAAACTGTCTTACAGAGCCTACTTTATAATCAACATTGATGCATTTAGCATCTAAAACTACTAGCAAGAAGCACTTATATTTAATGCATAAACTCTTTTGTTTGGCTCATGGTACCACCACCACCACAGCGAGGTACAAAATCACATTCCAGAACCTTCACATTTACTGTTCCTCATTGGTGAAAGGTCTTTTTTTAATTAAAATTCTTGTATACTTTAAAATTTCTACGATGGAAATGTAAGATTTACTTTTACATGGTTAGTAATATTTCAAAACATAACAATTACTGGTCTTTACTAAAAAAATAAAAAAATTGTTTACTTGATTTGCATTAGTGTTTTCATTAGTTATGATACATGAAATCATGTAGATTCATTGAGAAATACTTAATTGTATCTCACAATCATTGTTTTACCGCATTGCATTGTGATTCTGTTTTGACTCCTCCAATTAAAACCGCAAAGCTTCGGCTATAAACCTTATTGGAAGACAAAGATATTTATATGAAATGCTGATATAAAATTAAATTTACTTATATTACAAGCCATCTGAATTTCTCTTCCTACTTTATACATGAAAGCATGATCCGTACTCATAGAAATCATATTTTTGGTTTGTTTTTGCATCTAATTATACATTTGTAACAACATAAATCACAATATTATGCCATATGGATTATAAGAGTCTGATGTCTTAAATACGAGACGAAACTACAATAACAAATAAATATTGAGAACATTTTGCAGATTTTTTTCTTCTTATCATTTTAGACTGTAAGGGTTCAGTTACCTGTCCCATTAAAAAAAATGGACTGGCAAAATCACAGGAGTGAGTTAATTTTAAATACTACTCAGTAAAAAAGATAAACTGGTAATGAATACAACAGTCTTACAGAGAGATTTAACCATGTTTTGTGTTTATATATTGTCTGTATAGATATGTGTCCTGCTTGTAAGGCATCATTGAGCTGTGGAAAGCCCTATCTACATGCTGAAACACAATACCACTTAACAAGTTTGACAGTTCTGCAGAATGGACCAAATGTCATTATGGTTTTGGACTAAACCTTGTGATTTTGACGGAACAACTTTTAAAGATCTTTTTTATTCCCGATATCAAAATCATAGTGAAAAATGACCAGGTATCGACAGATTTACACAATGACATAAATGCACCATTTCTAACATGATCCTGATCCACATATTTCCATCATGAGTCTATAGCAAAATGATTTAAGAGATTAGTTTAAATACTTTGCTCCAGTTTTTTTTTTATTATGTTCCACCATCTGTATCCAAACCAAAAACACCTGGACTCTTGTGACTAATGGATTCAAGTCCAATTTTGACTCATTTTCCTATAGTATAGTGTTCAAAATAACCTAATAGTCTGTGTTTTCAGATTGTAAAAAAACAAAAAATATTAATAAGAAAATGCTATGACATTTGCTTGAAGAAGATGCAAACTGTTTTTTTTGTTTTTAAAAGTACATTTAATTTTCATGAGAAAAGAGTATTTGTTTTGTTTGTTTGTTTTGTTTTACTATAATCTCTGCTAGTCACAAACAATGTCCATACAGGTTTTTTTTATCTTCTTCATCTGATTCTCTTAAGTGTCCGTTCATAAATAGCTGAAATCTACTTCTTCTTTGTGGCTCTCTTTCCTTCTCCCTTGTTGGGTCTCCCTTTACCCCGCAGTTTCCTCAAGCGTCTCATTTCCTCCTTGAAATCCTGGTGTTCATCCCTGAAATGAAGCAAAATTAATGTCAAAAGAACCCAAAGATCAAACGTTCATAAATGCAGTATAATAACTGTATAGCATTGGCTACCTGAAAAGCCCCATGTATCGGAGTCTCTGGGTCATCGAGTAGTAAATCTTGTGTGGAGGATACCAGTCATACACTTCTTTTCTCTGGGCCAATGGGGGCTCTTTAAATAACTCCACTACTTTCAAAGACCTGGCGTCTGTCTGGCGGGACACGTCTCCAAAGATTCGAGCACTCAGACGGGCCATGCGGAGAGCATAGTTAGAAAGACCAGCCATCGTCACCTAATGAAGAAAATGCATTCGTTGAATGGCTTATGCATTTATTTACATTACTGCATTAATGCAAATATTTTCTTTCTTTAATGTTTTGGTTACATATTTTGTTCAAAGTAACCAAAACCTTTTGTTTTTAAACGTAATAAGTGTTTTTTACTGACCGTTTACAGGTCAGGTTTTAGGATTGTAAATATTGTATTTTAGTATATAAGACAAGATAAACAACATTTTGTTTAGAATTTAAAGTTGTATTTAAGATGAATATAAATATATATTTTGAAATATGCAAGATAAATAAATAAGGATAAAATAATACATGTCTGTGTATTTTTACAATAAAATATAATATATAAATATTTTAATATATAAAAGTAATTTCAAAATATATTTATCATTTTGAGAAAACATTAGGTCAATATGTTCTCTAAATGCAAGTAGGTAAACAGATATAAATGTGTAAGGTAGAACGAAGAGTTTAACATTTTAAAAATAAAAATATTTATTTCTAAGCTTCTTAATATTTAAAGTTTTACTGTATCTGTACAGTTCACATTGCACATTGTTCTTAGTATTTTATTTGTTTGTTTATCAGTCTAAAGATTCTTAAATAAATACACATTTACCTAGTAAGCACTGTAATATAAGAAGTGTTGTTGTCTGAGAAATTGTTTAAAATTAAGCAATTAATCTCTCAAAAAGGTTACATTTCTCTAGATTTGGCAAACAGAAGATGTATGATAAAACATGCAGGCCCTTCTTTAGATGTATGCTAATATTTGTTTCTGTAATATTTTTTTTCCTCCCTTCTTTTTACACGTCGTTCTATTTTGTTACTTATTCCATTAGTCTGCCTGAGATGTATTTGGTAGCGCTGTATAATTGCTGCATTGTTTGCTAGTGTTTTGATGCATGTTCTAGTTGGTCTAATAGATAATAATAAGATAATTTTGTTAACATATATACAAGATGCACACTATTGGGTGTTGTTTGCATAAAAACTTATATAAATAAAGTTAAAAAAAAAAAGCAATAAAGTTATGATTAAAACAAGATCAGAAATCTGCCAATAGGCTTAGGAAAGACAAATCTATTTAATACAAAAGCATTTCTTTATTTTGCATATATCTTGATTTGTTTAAACATTTGTACTGGAAGACAAAAATATTTGAATGATTGAATGAATGCATGCATGCATCCATCCATCCATCCATCCATCCATCCATCCATCCATCCATCCATCCATCTGTCAGTGCATGCAACAATGTCCATAATGTTTGTTATACGTTGTGGAAGAGCGAATTAAAACTATTCAAGACCCACATAATGGCTGAATAAAATAAAGAGACTGGTTCTCAGTGACTAGAAAACAGGACAAAAAAATCTTCCAAATCTTTAAAAACACATACAGTATCCTGCATTTAATTAAGCACTCTGCAGATACATGGTATATTACTGATCAGAATATCGTCTGCTTACCCTTTTCTGGAATCCCCAAAGCAGGCCAAGCCAAATATATATATAGCTGTTATTATAGCGACATCAGTAACTGCTGAAAACACTTAGTTATGGTTATTTGACAGATCAACCTTCATTGGAGCAAACACACACTGGAGAACGTGAATGATACGCATGCGCGGAGGAATTCAGCGCTTGCCATTTCCTGTAGTCTGTCAGGACCTTGAAATGATAATGATAAGTGACATTTACTATGTCAGGCAACATTCGTTTAACACATTTACAATTTCCCCAGTTTAAATACTAAATGTCAAATAGAATTTCATTTTATTTTAATTAATAGCGGTATAGGTGGCAAGTTGCGGATTTATTTAACTAATGTTATTTGTAAAGAACACTGCATAAAGGACCTGACCATTGACGACAACACAGGAAGTTGTACGCCTGTGTGTAATCATCAAGATAAAAGTCCCCCATCATAAAATGTAAAACTGAGACAATATTATTATGAGTACATAAAAATACATATTATTCATATATTAAACATATGTTCTGTAGAAAATAGTTTTAATCTGTATTTCCCAATAATAATTGCAGGACTTTATTTATTTATGCTTTTGTTTGTTTATTTATTTTAATCAATTTTACATTATTATTTTTGTCATAAATTGTATTTACTTATTTACATTGTATTATTTATGAAATTTCAATTACGTTTTTGAAAAAAAAAATACATTCATATTGATCTCATCTAATATTTATTTTGCATCAGGTATTTGGATATATTTGTATTAATTTTGTTCATTTGTTTTATATATATATATATATATATATATATATATATATATATATATATATATATATATATATAATTTATTTATATTATGCAATTATGATCATAGTATATTATATGTTATATATTATTATATAGTCTTTTTTTGTTATCATAATTATAATTTCGACCCGATTTTCTATGGGTTTGTTTATTTTGTTTATTATTTTTTTAATAAAAAAATTTCCATTTTATTTAAGATAAAAACTTAAAAAAAATTTTATCTTAAATAATTCACTTTGATTTATTAATAAACATGTTTATTAATAATTTAATATGTTCCTTTTTTGTGCTTTGTATTGTTCTGTTTTGTGTTCTTTAAGCATTAATAAAAATAAATAGGGCAGAGTGGGGACAGCTGCAACTCCCTTCAGTTTTGCATTCCCTTCATTTTCCCATAGACAGTATTGTGTTAAATTGGCCATATAAATACAGACTAAAAGCTTAAAGAAACTGAAAATCTAGACTATAGCTTTCCTAAACTACATCTCTGAACTTTGAAATGAATTAATGAATTTTTTCATTTTATTTTTTTTTTAAATTGAATTACATTAAAACTGATCAAATTCAATAGTACATTGTTAATATGGCAAGCTTTTAAAGGAATTTGTGATTGGGGACAGTTGCAACGGCATGTTCAGCAACTTTGTCAACCCTGATCAAACCGTCTATGCTAGGGTGATACAATAACTTTAACGCTTGATAGCTATTCCTATTTAAAGCTTAGAAAACAGTTATTTAAATTACACAAATGAATAATGTTTTACAAAATCAGATTAGACAACCTTAAAAACATTATTATTAATACATTTTATTATTAATAATTTTTTAACATAAAAATGAGTTTTATACTGAAGGAATGGTCACACAAGGCTGATTTCTCTCAGATTGAAGGAGGGTCTAACTGAGAATATGTATATCAGCACTCTAGCTTATTCCTGAATGGAGGAATAAGCCTTGTTGCAGCCATCCCCACTTTCCCCAAAAATAAAGAAATAAATAAATATGTGGAGACATATGGTGCAGTGGTTAGCAAGAAAGTCGCTGGCTCGAGTTCCAGCTGGCATATCTGTGTGGAGATTGCATGTTCTTCCCTGTGTTGGCGTTGGTTTCCTCAGGGTGTAAACTGGCCATGTATGTGTTTGAATGAGTGTGTATGGGTGTTTCCCAGTACTGGGTTGCAGCTGGGAGGGTATTTGCTTTGTAAATCATATGCTGAATAAGCTCATTCCGTTGTGGCAACCCCCTGATGAATAAAGGGACTAACAATAAGAAAATTAATGAACTAATGAATGAAAAATCTTTTAAAATTGCTGTGATATCTTTGTTCCCTAGATGGCGATATATCCATGAAAGAAAATCATTTAAAAAGCAAGCGGACGACATAAACGTGATATAAATAAATAATTTGATAGACAGCTCTCCGGATTAGCATGGCAATCACGTTTCCCCCTTCCTTCCAGAGGATGTATCTATTAACACAATTCTGGGGACAAAAAAGAAACAAGATAACACATCCTCAAATAGCTCAAGACAAATTGCCTTGTGTATCAGCTGCATTTTTAGATTACATTGTTCTGTATTAACTGTTAGCTGCAAATAAGTTCCAAACAAACTTGGACTGCGTTTAAAGAAAAATGTAATTAAAATCTAGCTGTCAAGCTGTCATTCAAACTGTCCTAGAGACGATTACGGTCCAACAGAATTCAATAAAGAAAAGACACCTCGCAATGAGCAATAACAGACCATCCAAAACATCCAAGTCAATATACAGGGTATGCTACAAATTGTGTCACATTCATTTAGTCAGACTGTCAGTTGTAGTGTGCTATTGTCTAAAAAGATCCACTTAAATAGTTTTCTTAGTGCTGCTGTTCACTCCAATTAATCTGCTATTATTTTCTCCAAGACGCTGCCTTTTAAATTCAAATCTGTATTTGCTTTTTACATTTTAAAGAGATAATAAAAATGTAATGTATTATGCCAGTGTGAACAGATTTTAATGAAACTCAAAATACAAGAGGTGACACTGTGGTTAGCTCAGTGGTTAGCACTGTCACCTCAAAGCAAGAAGGTCGCTGGTTTGAGTCCCAGCTGGTTCAGTTGGCATTTCTGTGTGGAGTTTGCATGTTCTCCCCGTGTTGGCATGGGTTTCCTCTGGGTGCTCCGGTTTCCCCCATGATCCAAAGACATGCGCTATATGGTGAAATGAATAAACTAAATTGGTCATAGTGTATGTGTGAATATGGATGTGTCCCAGTAATGGGTTGCAGCTGGAAGGGCATCCACTGTGTAAAACTTATGCTGGATAAGTTGGCGGTTCATTCCGCTGTGACGACACGTGATGAATAAAGGGACTACGCCAAAGAAAAATTAATGAATGAATGACATACAAGAACTTCTGCATATTCCTTGGTTGGTTAGACTGATTTTATTGTGACAGCATTTAATGATCAAGACTGAATCATGTTCTGTAGCCTACTGTAATGTCTATGTGTCATGCTAAATAATTAAATCTCTAAAAATGCCCAATGCTGGGTCAACCTAACAGTTTAAAACAAAATAAAAAAGTCATTAATTTAAAATTTTGTCTAACTTTGGATTTTATATATTTTACAACAACTCAGTGAATGTCCTTGAGTGTCCCAGCCAGAGCTTAATCCTATTGAACATCTCTGGAGAGATCTGAAAATGGCTGTATACCTTCACTTTCCATCCAACCTGATTGAGCTTGAGAGGTACTGCAAAGAGGAATGGGCAAAAATTCCCAAAGACAGGTGTGCCAAGCTTGTGGCATCATATTCAAAAAGACTGGAGGCTGTAATTGCTGCCAAAGGTGCATCAACAAAGTATTGAGCAAAGGCTGTGAATACTTATGTACATGTGATTTTCAGGTTTTTTATTTTTAAGAAAAGGTGCAACAATTTCAAAAAGTCTTTTTTCACATTGTCATTATGGGGTATTGTGTGTAGAATTTTGAGTAAATAAATTAATTATAATAAAAAGGGCAATAAAAAAAACATTAAGAAATCAGTTCAATAGATTTACATCCCAATGAAAGTGAAAAATATATTAAAGTCATAACAAACACAGTGCTCATATTAACAGTCAACTATCGTTAAATACATTACAAAGTATGATCACATTGTTTGGTGTTACTCAGCGATCAGCCAATTCTTATCTAACAAACTAAGGAAGTCTTAAATCTTGTAAAATATGTGCATTTTTTGTTTGACTAAGTTAGAAGACATTTCCTAACACACAGCGACAAAGATGGACCATGAATACTTTTCCAGTGAATGCCAATTAGGCGCTTCGTTTGTAATAAATACAGTTTTACATTTTTATCAGTTTTTGGTAAACGCTAAACCACTATTGTGGACATTTAAAACCTCTGTACAGTTTACATTGCATAAATGTTAGTTAATATTTGGGCTCCCCATCATTTTCATCCACTCATATAAGCTGAAGTTCATGTTTTACAATATTTTTCTTCTACAGTAATTGTCTTGCAGTGTTTTAGATTTAGAGTGAAATAATACAATTCCAAAAAGTTGGAAAACCCCCCTGAGCATGCAAGCATCTGCCTAATGCCAATGAATTAATTTGATCTTGCATTTAATTTATTTACTAAAACTAAAATACTGCAACTATAGGCGTTTATGAAGATGAATGACCCATGAACTATAGATGAAACAGAAGAAAGGATGTTTTGTGCTTCCAAGTTGACCAATCAAGTATCTCACTGTCCCCATCATCACAACATGTAGGTGCATATAGGGTGCACAATATAAATACATAACTTATACACCTACAATTGTGGTTGAAATGTTACATGCGAGTGTTACTTGAGCAAATTGCTGCCTGCAGTTCACTTTCCAGCCACTGGTGTTGCTATTAACACGCGTTTCTGAACTCATCTTTAATTCTAAAAATGCTATATTCTCATGTCCACTTTAATTGATTTAATAACTATAGATTTTGCTAGCTAAAAATAAAAAGTATGTAAATTACATTTAGTCTACTTTGCTAAATATTCCCATGCATATACAACAACATTGTTATTTTATTGCATGCACCTATTTTAAACAGCTACAGAAACATAGGCATGACAGTCCCTGTACATCATCTGAAGGCGGTGTGGGCAAGCCAATAAAAAGAAAAAGCTCACAATGGCCTCCCTGAGTGTGCTTACACAGATGCCACAGCTCTCATTTATTATTCAGCAATACACCTGACTGCTGTTGGTTCTGGACAGTGCGTAGTGGTTTCAGATTGCAAACCTGTATGGAAGGGTTTTGCTCTGGTGTAGTATCGTTTTAAAGCTCTCTGATGATGCAGAATGACAAAATGAAAGATTCTGCGAGCCTTGATTATTTATTCATGAGAGACACCGGTTTACTTCAGTCAGTGTGTGTAAATGTAAAAGAGAATGCATGCCAGCAAGGCAACTCCAGTTACAGTTCGATACGGAACCAGGAGCAGTAGTGCGACTCCTTTAAGAAGCCGCTTTAATAAACAATGAACATCTCATATTGACAGCATGACATCACCGCTGTTTTTCCCAGACAGAGGCAGCATGCACGGAGGATGCTGGGACCATATTGTCCGGGGAGGAGGATGCACCATCCGCCAAATGTTGTAATATCGACACACTCATTTCCACGTCAAGCTTTTGAGACGCGGCGTCGTTGAACGGTTTGGTGTTTCCAGCGCAGACCGTTTACAAATGTGTGTCGCTGGCTGATAAATAGGATTATTTGGCGGCGCATATGCTGTATGGCTTTATCTTACTGTGTCTGCGAACGCAAAATGGGCTGGAGATGCATTATTGGAGTGGAATGAATCCATTTTATCAGCTTTAATTGGGGTGAGTGCAGAATTTAATTTACTTTATCAGCCTTATAAACGGGGCCCGTGGATATTCAAGCGCTGAACGCTGTAAGAGCGCAGGATAGCTGTTATTATTATAAATCTAAGCATTCCTTTACATGATGTGATCTTTTTTTTTTCTTGAAATGTCGTGTCATTTTAACATATGCCACATCTAAACAGCCAGTAGTGCTTTGATAAATGCATCCTGTAGCCTATAGCTGAATCCAGAGAGAATATGAGACGCGGCTGGATTGTCTATCTCTATGAAATATATGTAACATAATCTGGAAAGCAAAAATCTATAGTCTGTCCGCGCAAGGTAAATGGGCTGTGAACCGATTCTTATTTAGAACCGGGTTCTTAAAAGCCTACTGGCACCAAGCCATTTGCATGCTGTTATTTAGTAGGCTGCCTGAAATAATTACAAATATTTTTACATGGAAATGATAACCCACTGACAGACTATTCCCAATTTGATGGATTTCTCGCATCTGCAGGTCGACCCTGTGTATTTTGAAAACGAGTCATTTGAGTCGGTTCTTTTTAATCAATTAAAACACTCAGAACCACCGACGTAGTAAAACAAAGGAGCAAATGACAAACGACCCGGTTCTTTTTAGTTAAGGCAGTAGCTAGGTTACACCATCGTAGCCCAAATCCCGACGAAGTGACTCATTAAGAGTCGATTCTTCTTAATGAATTAAAACCATTTCCACCAGCATCGCACAACTCCCGATCAAACGACTCTTTACGAGCTGGTTCTTTTTAATGATTATGAACTACGTGCAGTATGCTCGATTCCAGATTAAAAATAACTCGGTTCTTTTCATATAAACCTGAAATTAATCTCTGTATGTAACTTTTTAGAGCTCCCTTAAGCAACGGACGTTTTCATTTGGCTTTATTACTATATTATTACAGTATTATAAAATAATTACCAAAACAATTAGTTTGTGTGCTACAGGCTTACTGGCCATATACATTATTATAGCTATAGGATAGCGACTATAAATTTACTACCATTAAATACCAAAATGCGCGTGACTGTTGATTGGCATAACTATCCGCAGGTGAACGCGATTTCGCTCGCCTGAACTGAAAAAAATTCGCGCACTACATCAAAACGTTTGCGTAGCCTATAAAAGTGAAGGAAAAACTTGAACAGGCCTAGTTTGTACCCCAAACATCTTTTTCAGAGTTTCTCCAAGGGTTTAACGATTAATAATCACGCACGCTTTCTGATCTCCATTTAACTCCGCACAGCATAACCGATAGACGCTTCTGGTGACGCAATGGTTTATTTCGTAATACAGACTGGACAGAAACACAATTGCCTCGAAGCTCAAATACAGAATGTTATATTTAACAATAATAAAAATGGTAAAACTTCCTCTGCCTTCTTTTGAAAGGCTCGTCTCGCGTGGACTGGACTGAATCTTCTTCGTCTGGTTTCATTCGCTCGTGCTGTTTGGATGGGACGGGCCACTATTTGGATGGACGTTAAATAAGGCTTATAATTTTCGCTCAGCTCTCCACGAAAAAACCCTGTTCTCTCCGTCCGCGTGCCCGGCGGGATGCGGGTGCAGGTTAAGGAGCTCTCCGTGCTGTTGTGGTGCTGACGCGGCTCTCGGTGAACGCGAGCATGGCTGCGGGGAAGTTGCTGCTCTACGCCGGTCTGTCTCTGTCCCTCTGCGCGCTTGGGATGCTGGCTGTGGCGATTTGCTCCGACCACTGGTACGAGACGGACGCGCGGAGGTACCGAGAGAGGTGTCGGAGTTTCTCCAGCCGCCGGAAGGACCCGGGTTTTATTTACATCCCCAACAACAGCCTCCCTCTGCGGGCGAGCCGCTCGCGCCTGGACCGCTGGGAGGAGAAGCTGCTGCTGGCGCGCAACAGACGGCAGCTGTTCGCCATGAGCGCCGCTGATGAGTGCAGCAAGCGCTACAACTCCACCAACATGGGGCTCTGGAGCAAGTGTCATCGGCTGGGATTTGACCAAGAAATCGAAGACCTCATCCGAAACGGTAGGACAGTGATGCTCTGTGTCTGTCAGTCAATGTGTGCAATGCAGACGTGATGTCAGTCTCACATTATCCTAATTGTTAGGCAGTGTGCCGATATACAAATTCTGGATCATGTTTAGGCTATCTGAACACATAATTACCATAAACCCTAAACCCGAGAAATTAAATTACAACCATTCTATTTGTTTTCATTTGTTTCAAGTTGGTAGCTTTTGGTATCCAATATAACTTTATGAAAACAAACAGAATGGAGATTAGTTAAACCAACTGTTTTACCGATATTCATAGGCCGATATGCTTTTGCATATTTTCAACAATATTCTACTTAATTCAATTATTTTAATAATAACAATAATAATAATAATAATAATGGATGTTTTTGGGTCAACAAGGAATTAAAATAAAAATTCCCCCACTAGCCATTCACGATTAATTTGGTTATAATAACACTAATAATAATAATAGGCTAATATAATAATAATAATAATAATAATAATAATAATAATAATAATAGGCTAATATAATAATAATAATAATAATAATAATAATAATAATAGGCTAATATAATAATAACAATAATAGGCTAATATAATAATAATAATAAAAATAATAAGGATGAAAAAATAAATAACAAAAGTAACAATAACAATAATATGAATTTTATTGTTAATAACAACTTAAGTATAAGCTATAATGTTGATTAGTAACTTGACCAAACTCTTTGCTGATAATGTTAGTTGTTGTTGTTGTTGTTGTTATTATTATTATTTAGTTTAAAATATGAATAATTTACATTCCACTGAAATCTCAAACAAGTATTTCTATGAATATTGGCTATAAACAACAATTAGGCAACAAAAAAAATCTATAAACAAAAGTTTAACATTTTAAAAGCTGTCACTGATGTATATTGGCTGAAACCAACATATCTGAATATTTATCATTCAAAATGTAAGAGCAGTGATGTCATTGCTTTAATTAGATTTCCTGAATTCTGGTTGCTTATATAAGTTCTGCCTGTATTCTAAAAATATGAAGTAACACCAGGGTTTAACGCTAAGGATTTTTTCTACTGACCCGATTGGGCCAGGGGTTCAGATTTTTATTTGCCCTGCCAATATTTTCACTGGCCCTATAAAAAAAAGAAAAAGAAAAAGTTAATAGCTATTACTTAGCCACATATTTTAAATATTGTGTCAAAAATGTGTTTAAATTTAGAATTTAAATATTTAAAATGTTAATAAATAAATAAATGTTAATGTTAATAAATATATAATGAGCAAATCGTCACGTTCTACCCACGTAAATGTCTGCTTCCAAAACATTCTTTTAGCCTCATACTTTGATGTTGCCGTCACTTTGCTGTACTGGTTTTTACCAGGTTACAAAAAAACGACATGTTCACAACATCCAATCAGATAAGAGGAACCGAAAAGCAATATGGTGTTCAAGACATCACAGAGAAGGTAGCATTTAAAGGCTAAAAAGCACCAACTGTTTCTCGATTCTAAGACTGTATTCATGCGCAATTGACAAATAGTTGCAGGCAAATTGAACTTTTGTGACAAGGCAGCACAGATCGGGCCAGTAACAATCCTGTCTACTGTCCCGAACGCCTCGCAAGATGGCCCTGGGCCATCGGTGCAGTCCTTATTATTGAGCCCTAACCATCAAGAATTGCAAACATTTCATTGCCGTGGAGCATTCTTCAGACGTGCAAACAAATGGAGACCCACACAAAACATTAGCGCCTCATTCATGTGCACTGACATGAATAATGTGCCACAAACGGAAAAGACAAAAACAGAAAGTTCACTACTTCAGCTAGCAGAAGTGACGAGTCCCTTGCATTTGAAGGTGTGAAGCCCTATGGCTAGTCTCACACTCTGGGCCTTATTATCCTCCACCAAACTAGGTTAATTTACTCCACACTGGTTTGAGGCATATGTGATGAATATATTAATAGCACCACACACACACACACAAACCTATAAATAGAATCCCGATCCCCAAACCATGCCAGCCCAAACACCGGAGGCTGTGTTTCAGTTGAGGTACACCAAAACAATTGGCCCAGAGTTGCTGAGGCTCACACACTCTCCTATTACACACTAAATGTGTGCATGCTCAGGGAAAACAGCAGCACTAAATGTCCTCAATAAAGAAACAAGCTCAATTCTGCTTATTTGAATGGTGTCACCTCTGCTGGTACCTGTTTCTTATGTGTGTGTGTGTGATTACGTAATGGGGATTTTGTGGTCCTGAAGCGTCATGTGTTGCATGACAGTGTGCAGCAATGGCATGATTGTGTGTTACAACATCAGCAAAAGCTCATTTAACTCTCTGGCAGTGGTTTAGGGCGGAGGTTGCATTGATAAAATAATGCAGTGTTATTCTACACCATCCCTGCCATTCACCTTGGGATGATGGTGATGATGCAAGTTGCATTTAGTGTGTGTTTTGGAGCTTTTAGTGTATTGCTGAACAGCTGTTTCTTTATCTGTGCATGGTTTATTTAGGAAAATATTAGTCAGTGTTCATGCACCTTTATAAATAAATACAAGTGCTTCTGTTCCATATCTTTTTTATGATTATTCATATCATTATCTGGGTTGCAAGCACATCGTTTTGTAAAATGTGCTGACTGGGCTTATAATGGCATCGCCCATCTCTCAGAGGAAGCTTATTCTCTGTCTCTACCCTGGATCGTCTCTTGGGAGAGAGGATGGAAGAGTATGATGTATGAGAGAGCAAAACAGTGGTGCGCAGATAAGGGGTCAAAACTAAAGGGCTTGAAGAGGGGGAAAGTCATTCACATGCTGTCCTTAATCTCGCTATTGTGGGTTTTCTTTCTTTTTTTGTATTTGAATTTGAACACTTCCTTTGAATCCAGCTTAATGAGGAAAGATAACGATGAGTGGATGATTTAAGGAGGGAGAATTAATTTTGTTATTAAAAAAAGGGAAAAATTATGTTGATAAATTTAAGTCATGTTAAAAACGTAGGTTTATTTTCTAAAAAATAAAATATATACATATTCATTATATGGATTTAAAAACAATTTAATATTTATATGAAGAAATATTTATTTTTACATGAATTTAGTTTTATTCTACGTACTAGTACATTTTCTATTTTAGGATATATTATTTAGTTAAATATGTTAAAATGAAAACATCAAACCAGCTAAAAAAAAGTATTTAGATTAACACAAAAATTAATAATACAATTCATATTATTATGATTTTTTTTGCATTACAATAAAATGTTTATCTTTGCATCTGAACATAGATGTTATTTGTATGTAAAATTGGTTAAAAAGAACGAATGACATGGCAATACATTGTCTAAATTAAAATACTGTTTTGTATTACATTGGATGTAATATATATTAGAGGAATTCCAGCGTAATGGATGCGACATTTGCAGTAAAAATTAGAAACATAAATTCACAGAGAAAGTATGCGTCAACATTACATTGAAACATCTGTTTAAATTTTCCAAAACAACTAAACACAGAGTTATGGGATACGGATATTTTTTATATTTTAAATGAGGAAAATAAACATGCATTATGGATGTAAGTATGCGAGTTTACAGTATAAAACATATTTTGTAAAAATTCTGGGAATTAAACTGCACGACCCAAAGGAAACGATGCTCATCAAATGGATAAGAGTTGTTTCTCTTTATAACAAACATGATTGATTTTATTTTACTTTACATGTTTGCATATATGAGAAAAAAGCTTCGCTATGGATGTGACATCTCTCTGTTATGGATGTGATGATGTTATATTGCCACTTGTGTGACTTTGGTAAATCAAATAAAATAGTTTAAAAAAGGTTGACAAAGACATTTAGGAGTATTTTTAGAGTACTATAAAATACAAGCCTACACAAAAAAACCTAAAAAGGGTTTCGCTATTTTGGTGAAAACTTTATTTTCTTCATGGCAAGGTTGAAATATGCATGGAATTGCTCATTATTTACATTTACAGCAAAAACAAAAATGCATGTATTATTTTTTAAATAAGTAGCATTCCAATTAGGGCTGGCCAATGAAATAATTTCATATTGAATCGCAAAACAATTTACATTAACAATGAAAAGCTCTGGACATTTTTAGTCGATCTAGATTCTAAGTGCACACAGCAGAAATATGCAACAACAGGAAATTATAATTGTGTTAATATTAGAAATGTACCTAATTTTTGGTCTCAAAAATAGGTATTGTTCAGCACGCTCATTTCACTTTCCCACAAGCAGTTTACTTTCCCGCCAACATTATCCACCTTCACTCATGGTTGGGCTACTCTTTTAAAAGTGGAAGCATTAACAACTTATATCGAACTATATATCGTTATCGTTCAATATAGAAAATAATTATCAAGATTGCATTTTTGACATATCGCCTAGCTCTAATTCCAGTATTCAATAGGGCAATTGAACGTGTTTAATATGCATTGATTGATGCTGAAATGACTTTATCTTTAACAGTTGATCTGAATCATGCTCATATATTCCTTTGCGGCATCATTATTGAAGATTTCACATTGTAGCAACAAATTTCTGCAGAAAGCAGATGATTTATGGTAGTAGTTTGAAGGAAGACAAATATCTAGAAAGGGCGACCAGGAAATGATGCGAAAGATGGCGGCATCTGGAGTTTGTGGAAAATTGAGAAAGTCTCTCTCTGAGCGAGAGTGTGAGAGCAGGGTGAGATCATGCAGAAACAGCCAACCCATCTCATTGTCCACCATCTGTCCCTGCCTCCCAGCGGGACACCCATCAGGGATGATGAAGACATTTTAGACCTCCAACACAATCACAGAGACAAGAGAGATTTAACCTCCCATCATTAATAAAGGCAAACCCAATTCTAGGACATCACAGATTGAGCCAGTGTCACCTTTAAACTCAGAGTACATTTGTGTGTTTTGACATAGTACTAATATTTGTTATTACACAAACATGGGCAATGACACATCCACTAGTGTC